AAATTGTGAATTAATTCTTTTAAAAATGAAAAGAAGGGCTAACTGAGTTCCTACGGTAATAAATCCAGCATTTCTTTTTTCATGAGCTCAAGGGGCCAGTTTTTTTTACTAGTTCTAGAGTTGAATTATTGTTCATAATTTTTATCAAATCTATTTATAATTTTTTAAACATTAAAATACTAATTTACCTCTCAACTTTTTTAAAGGTTAAATGTTTGTTAATTCGATCATTAGTTGACTCAAAAAGATTGCAAAAAAGAACTCAAAAAGCATATAAAAAGATTTAAAAATCACAAATAAATACCCTATGATAAAATTAATGCTGATTAAGTCACCTAAATTATAAATAAGTATAAGAGTTAAATGGCAATATCGATTCTAAACTATATATTTAGAGGTGATTTGAACTTTAAATTCATATTTGGCACATCTTAAACCCTGAACAATTAAACCTGAGCCAATCTAACCCCTCTTGTTAATTTTAACCAAATGTCGGTTGCACCGAAAATTCTCTCCTCTACCTCTCTCTCCTCCCTCCCTCTTTGTTTCTCTCTCCTCTCAGTCTGCTTCTTTTTCCTCTTGTCCAAGATTGCCATGGAACCTTTAGTTCCTTATGACAACCAATGTGCAAAACAAAGAAGTAAACACCAACATGGGTTAAGGAGTTTTCTCACTCTATAATCAAGATCATAGAGGGAAAAGGCACCAATTGGAACCAACATGCCTTCTGAAAAATGAGAGAGGAACTAAAACCAACATGGGTGAAGAACAATTTTGAATTTAACACCTTTAGTTCCTCTCACTTTTGATGTTCCCGGTGAACGCCAGTAATGATCAATTTTAAGAGGGTTGTCTTAGGGCAAAGGAGATCGATTTTTGGAGATTGCAACCTGAAATTGTTACTCACATCTTTGTCTTCTTCCATTGATCGTGTCGCCTTCAGAATTGTTCTTGTCGACCATCAAGAGCATTTGCAAACCTATAAATCATTGATAGCTTACCAAACTTGTCGAGGAGGTTCAGAGGCTGAGGTTCACATTAGTTGTCATAAGGAACTAAAGGTTACATGGCAATCTTGGATGGGAGGAAGAAGAAGTAGACCAAGAAAAGAGAGTAATGAAGAAAGGGGCAAGGAGGGCTAGAGAGAGAATGTAGGTAATGAACATTTGGTTAAAATTAATGGTAGGAGTCAGATTGCCTTAAGTTTAATTATTTAGAATTTAAAATGTATTAAGCACAAGTTCAGTGTTTCAATCTTCCCTAAACCTATAGTTTAGTGTTCATATTGCCATTTAGCTCTAAACATAAACCCTCAATGGACGAAGGATACTTATTTGCAATTTTTTGGACTTATAATTTTATTAGCTTTTTCTATAATTTTTTAGATTAACCAGCGGTCAAATTTATGAATGTTTAATAAAGGAAAAATATTACACGTTTCTAATGCACGAGGAGTTACAAGACACCATCGTTAACTTGAAGTTACTCAATACATTTAAAAAAAAGTTAAGAGCTAAATTACCACTTTAACCTTTTCTTAATTCAATCCTTGATGCAGGCATTACTTATTTTAATTTGTTGTTTGTGGTCATACGGCACTGGTACATGGAGTAAAAGCATACAATGAAAATTTAGTAAGTTCAATCATCTATTACTATTATTATTATTATTATTATTATTATTATTATTATTATTAATTAGTTAACAGTTAATTAATTACATAACATATTTAAATGGTGAAATAAATAAATTTTACATATATTATATTTATTTTTTATTTGCATAATTATGTCAACAATTTGAATTGGATATGAGAGAAAACATATAAGTGGTGTTTTAGTGGAAATAATAAAAATATTGCTAATAAAGGAAACAACCACCACAACAACAATGATATATAGGCTAAAGATCAAACATGCCTATTTTGAAATTGAGCCACTTCTTGGATATTCAATTTATTTTTTCACATGCTAAATGAACCATGTCTATGTAAACCAAATTATTACCATGGTTTTTTATTTAATTATGTGAAAAACATGTTTGTATTACTTATTTTAATTTATTGATTGCCATCATGCGGTGTCACTATGTTAAGTGAAATGACACTACATTAGGAGAAATCCTTGCAGAGAAACCTAAAAGCTAAATGACATTACATAATAACTGACACCAAATCCAAACAAATAATACTTTTTTCTCGCAAAATTAATCTACAATTTTTTTGAATTTCAAAATGGATAATTACACCTATGTTTGGCTATTTCCAAATGAGCTGTTTTTTGGCCCTCCAATTTACATTTTGACCAGCTAAATGAACTACGCTTACTTACTAGCTTTAAAACCAAATTACCATCATAATTTTTCATTCAATCTCATAATATACTTTCTCCGTTAAAAAATGAGTCACTTTTTGGTTGTCCAATATGCTTCTTGATGACTTAAATCAGCTAAAGTTGGCTTAAACATAGATGCTTCCATCATTTAATCTCAAAAAAAAAAAAAACGCTTATTTACCAACTTTAAAACCAAATTACTACAATAAATTTTTATTTAATCAGATGAGATATGTGTGTGTGTTTGGAATACTTATTTTATTTTGTTATTTGTTATTACATGGAACTATCATAGTAATTGAAATGGCATTATATCCACATCTAAATGGTTAAAGTGTATTTTTGTCTCTAAAGTATTTTTTAAGGAATACCTAACACTCTAACTTTTTGTAAGAGCAATTTTACTTTTAAAGTTACTAAAACAAAGTATTTTTGCCCTTTTTGTCAAATTTTTGACGTTGATCTCAAATATTGACTATTAAAATATTTGATGAAAAGGATAAAAATACTTTGTTTTAATAACTTTAAGATTAAAATTGCTTCAGCAAAAATATTAGGATTCTCAGTGCTCCTCGAAAAAAATTTCAAAAATAAAAATGCACCTTTATTCAAATCTAAAAAGCTAAATGACATTACTTAATAACTACAGATCCAAACAAACAATAAATGTTTTTCTCACAAAATTAATCTAAAAATTTTGAGTAAAAATATTGTGATCTCTCATGTATTTTATTAAAATTACATGGAACTCCTTCATGTTTTTAAAATATACATTTTAGTTTAATTTTTAACAAATTTAAAAATATTCCATTATATATTCTAAAATATTTAATTTTTTATTTTAATTAAGTTGGAAAATTTACAATTACTAATTTGCGCCTATAATTGAATTGTTCTCTCTCCAAATTTAATGAACTTTAATAAATAATTATGAAAATATTTAAATAAATAATCTAAAATATTGTTTGAAATTTATGAAATTTAAAGAAAAAATTATATTAGCTAATTTCTCTCTTCTTATATTAAATACCTAATTAATTAATTTTTTTGTACATGTGGTTTAAAATATCATCTCAGCCTACTTATGTATTTATTTTTTTAAAATAATAAATAAGTAATTTTACATAGCTAAAAGTAAAATATGAATAAAAAAGTAAAAAAAATGTATTAATGTTTTTGGTATTTTAAATGATTTTTAGGTAACATTTATCATCTTGATCTAACAAATGTGATTTAACAGTCAACTAAAGATTTAGGTAAATGAATATAAAATCTTTAAAGTAGAATGGAGGTTTGTATTTTGTAATTATTTATTCGATCAGAGATTTATATAAGTTTTTAAAATAAAAGAAAGGTATACTGGATGATCACATCTATAAAGAAACCAACAATTATGCAAATTGGATTGCATATCAAGCATTTAAAGATAGTCTTGTTGTTAAGATTTTAGACGAACTACTTTTAGGATGTGATACTTTTTTATACACTGACATGATTTGTTTTTTAGTTTTTGCACAATTCTTGTCGTGGCCTTCCCCATTCCAAAAAAATAAAAAATAAAAGGAAGGTATCTCTAATTAAAATAAAATAGAATGGAGGCCAATGTATTTTACTCAAAATTTTATAATTATGTAAAAATTCAATTTAAGATATGGTAAGTTCAATCCTCTATGATTATTGATTAATTAATTGATTGGTAATTGATTACACATTACAACACCCCCTTCGTTAAAAAATGTAAGGTGTTCTTTGAGAGGTTGGATATTAAAAAATATAAGATATTTTTTATCTTTTAAAATATAATCATTGCCTATTTTTTTAAAAGTGCTCCTATTGAATAAATCACTTTATATTTATTTTAGTGTGAAACATCTTATTTTATGGGAGTAAAATATGAAAATATAGAATTAGTTTGAAAATAAATTACTACTTTACTGAGGGTAAGATTTAATCAATAATGCTTTATATTTTTTAATGAAGGGAGTATTTAAAAATTTAAAATAAAACCTGTGTATAAAAATAAATAATTCATGAAAATTGTGTTTTACTCTTTTAGAGGAAGTAATTAAAATATTGGTACTTAAATGTGCCATAAATCTTGCGAGATCATGCCATGTACATTGGATATTTTGACATATGAGCTTTGAACATTGCAAGACCAACAGACTCAGGCCAACATTATAAATAAAGCTTCAAAAAGGAAAGAAGGCACAAACAAACAAACAACGACTCACTTAAACACTTTGTTTCTCAATTATCTTTCATATCATATTGTATTTAAAATTTAATTTATTTTTCAATACTTTTGTAATCATTGTAGCACTTGTGCTTTTTTCAATTATTTTTATATTTTTATATCTTAGTAAAATAAGGTAAAAGAATTTGAAATATTTTGTTTACATTTGAGATCCCGCATCTTTGATATGTTTGTTAATTACATTGCTCAAATATCACAAACAATTTGTGATGAACACCCCGCTTATTAGCACATGCTTCTCTCTGGGAAAAAATTTAGGGGGAAAAAATCTTTAACCCTATTTTTAACCCATATTTTTAATATAGAGATTCATAATAATAATAATAATAATAATAATATCTTTTCGTCAGTTTGGTGGTTTTGGCCGGACGAGACAACCTACCAGTTGTTGCTGCTCTTTGAAGAGAGAGAGGCAGGCCTTCCTCTTTTTTATAGTGCGACACACTCACAGCATAACTGAGAGGCCTAACATTACAGACAGAGATGGCGAATGCTCTGAAGATGGGATCTCAGACTCTCACCCTCGACCACCGCCACCACAGTCACCTGTACTTCCACCGCCATTGCCACTGCTCTCTTTGATCCACTCTTCTTCTTCTTCTTCCTCTTTTTCTTCTTCAGGTACTCTTCCCTTGCTTACTCAATCGGCCATTTCTCTTTTCTTTCTTCTCATCGTTTTTCAGCTTCCCACCCCCATAAAGTTTCTTCTTCTTTATGTAGATCTTCATTGCATCTCTTCTGTTCAACTGAACGTTTGGGTTTATTTTGTTCTTGGATTTGAGATGTGAAATTTTTATTTGTTTTTTCTCCTTTGAGTTTTTGTTGATGATTAGGTTTCTGTTGTATGTTTCTTATTTGGAAATTAGTAACAATTTTTAATCTCATTTTTGTAGAGGTAACTTGTTATTTTTTATAAATTTTCTGTTTGTTTTGGCGCTACGTGGGTACTGGAAAAAAATTTACAGGTGGAATCAATTCCATTTTAGAACAAGGGTTTCATCTTTTTTCAGCCATTGCTATGCCATTTATATCTAACATTACTCTGTAAAGATGGCTAGATCTCGGAGCGAGTTTCTTTTTTGGGTTTTCCTTTCCTTTAACCCAGTTTTCAGAGATCTTTGTAGCCTTGGGGCCGAAATTTCTGTTTGGGTCAGATCCGCTGTAGTATGTTCAATTTTGTCTGAGCATCATCTCATTTTCCATTTTTTTTCTATGGCGAGGTGTTATTCTGTTCACAGATGCTTTAAAACTGTTGAATCATCGTCCAAAGAGTAATCAAATTGTGGAGACTCGCTATATTATATTCATATTTTGGTCCCTATAAAAGTATTAACTGTTCAGTCCCTATTTTGAATCTGAAGGTCTAGATGCTTGTGTAAGATTGACAGCTATTGTAAGTTTTCCTTATTTTTAAGAAAGATTATTAGAGGTGGGTTGGTGGTAGAATGGTTGAATTTATCAGAGAACAGGTAGCTGTATATATGACAGTAGTTTATGGAACTTTTTTTGAGGAATATAAAAAGGAATCACATGTTTCTCTCTGAATCAAATGCCGTCGCTGGTAAAATAGTATGGGTCAGTTGCAAGCTTTGCTCCTTGTTAACTAATTTTAAGCAGATATACATAATGCTCTCTCTCTCTTTATATATATATATATATATGTATTTATATACTCATTTCATTTTAACGTTGTTCCTCATTTCGTTTCCTCTGTTTTTTTCTTAAATTCTTAGCGGTAGCGGTCTTTGTTTGTTGATTCTTTGTACCTGTACTTTCTTACCAGTGATCTATTTTTATAGTTTTAGATAATATTCTCTTAATTTTTTGGCTAATCTAATGAAATCAAATTATCCTAGTTTTTATATTGACATGCTGATCATATTATGGAAAATGTTGACTGTCATTATTCTAAGTTCTTGTCCGAACAAAGGGAACAAACTTCAACTCTGAATTTGCTGTTGAATTTCTCATGAAGATTTTAATGAGACAAGGTTTTGGATACCATCTTTTTTGTCTAGATAACTGTCGAGATATCTGTACATTGAACTCAGGATTTATGAACAGAGTTTATGTTAACATTGTCTATGACCGCACTATTTGCAGTATTACTTCAGCACACTGGTACTGCTTCTTCTTCAGGTGCCTCTTTTAGGCCAGTTTGAAGAAGCCAGATGGGTTCAAGATTCCCATCTCATCAACTTAGCAATGGCCTGTATGTATCAGGCCGGCCTGAACAACCGAAAGAAAGGACTCCTACAATGAGCTCGGTTGCAATGCCCTATACTGGTGGTGACATCAAAAAGTCTGGAGAATTAGGGAAAATGTTTGATATCCCTGGGGATGGTTCTAAATCTAGAAAATCTGGCCCATTAAATAATGCTCCCTCAAGGACTGGATCATTTGCTGGTGCTGCTTCGCATTCTGGACCAATCATGCCAAATGCAGCTGCTCGAGCTGGTTATACTACATCTGGTAGTGTATCTGCTTCAGTCTCAAAGAAGACCAATTCTGGTCCATTGAATAAACATGGGGAACCGATTAAGAAGTCATCCGGCCCTCAATCTGGAGGGTATACGCGCCAAAACTCTGGTCCAATTCCAGTTCTTCCTACCACCGGCCTTATTACATCTGGTCCTCTGAATTCATCTGGGGCTCCAAGGAAGGTGTCTGGTCCATTAGAGTCCACAGGATCCATGAAATCACATGGTTCCTCAGTTGCTCACAATCCAGCTGTGACCACTGTCAGCCTAGGTGATGAATATTCCTTCATGAGGAATTTCCCGAAGCCAATACTGTGGTCTGTAATTCTGATTTTTGTTATGGGATTTATTGCTGGTGGTTTCATTCTTGGAGCTGTCCGCAATGCCGTCCTCCTCATTGTTGTAGTTATCCTGTTTACTGCTGTTACGGCTCTATTCACCTGGAATAGTTGTTGTGGTAGGAGAGCGATTGTTGGTTTCATTTCACGCTATCCTGATGCTGAACTCAGAACTGCCAAGAATGGGCAATTTGTGAAAGTTTCTGGGGTATGTTATCAATTAATTTAACGTATACATGTTTAGTGCAATTAATCCTTATAATTCACGCACAATTCCTTGCCTAACCACCCATCTCCTTTGGATTCCTCTGTATGGGTTTCCTCCTTCCATTGATTGTTGAATAAATGATTTCCTTGCCACAGATCCCATTGCATTCATGACTTGAATGGTTGACTGGTTGATTTCTGCTGTCTGGAACTGTATCAGTGTGACTGTTTTATGTTGCTATGTTTGCATGAATGAGGGAAACGGACAAATAATTTGTTTCGTGTGCCTTTTGAAGGTGGTTACCTGTGGTAATGTTCCACTTGAGTCCTCCTTTGGAAAAGTTCCTAGATGTGTCTATACATCAACAAAGTTGTATGAATATCGAGGATGGGGTTCAAAGCCAGCCAATCCTAAGCATCACCGTTTTACATGGGGAATCAGATCAACTGAGGTAATCTAAATAGTCAGTCATTTAAAAAAAAAAACTGACAAAGTTATTTAGATTTCTTTGACTGATTTGATCATATAATGGATAAAATTTAAATTTTTTTAGATTTCTCTATATCCTCAGACTTGTAAATCGTTTCAATACTTTTTTAAAAAAAAAAAAAAATGATTGGATGCGTTTAGCTTATGTGAACCTTTTTTCCTCCACTCCTTATTTCGAAGTCTTTACTTGAATCACACCCTTTATTTGTTTCCTTTTGTGCTCTTAGATTATGCTTTTAAGGTGCCCGCTGCCCGTGACTTGTGCTTCCATGAAAATTGTTTGCCTGCAATGGCCTTGTACCCCTTTTTCTTCATCCCCAACCCCCCCCCACCCCAAAAAAAAAGGGAAAAGTTTGATGAAAGACTGATACTTATTTTTTGAGTGTGCATGCTTGCTTGCACAAATCTATCCCTAAGTTTCACTCTTTTCAATTTCTGGTAGCTGTTATATGATCTTGGCTGGAGCTGCTGTTGTGAGAGTATGCTGTTAACATTATCATTACAAAGTGAATCTTCATGCCCGATGTAATCTAAGGCATGTGGCTACTTTTTGTGGAAATTCTTGGTTCAGAATCATTTGAATTGTTCTCCTGTGTTGAATGGACTTGCTGAGGCAAGGAAACCTTTTTTTTTGGGATAAAAAAGGCATTTTTATTATAAAGAAAACAACCTGACCAAAGGCCAGGAACTTGTGAATATTGGAAATCGTAGTCTAATATCTGTAAGACCTGATATATATATATATTTTTTTTACACTTCTAATTATATTAATTTAATGCAGAGGCACGTGGTGGATTTCTACATCTCTGATTTTCAGTCTGGATTGAGAGCACTGGTTAAAACAGGTTATGGTGCAAGGGTGACTCCATATGTTGATGATTCAATTGTAATCGATGTCAAACCAGCCAATAAAGACATGTCCCCTGAGTTTCTTCGATGGTTGGCAGAGAGAAACCTTTCAAGTGATGATCGTATAATGCGATTAAAAGAAGGGTAAAGTATTTTTGTCTGGCTAGAGTTGAAACTTCGAAGGTCATTTGTTTATAAGAATCAGTTTAAGGTCAATCCCTTTTCATTAGTGTTTGGGAGGCAGAAAACTGAATATTGTTGCTATCAACATAAATAATTGGTGGCAACTTATAGTTTTGCTTGTTTGTCAGATATGTAATATACAGCCAGAACACAATTTATGTCATGCTTCTTGACAGTAAAATGATGGCTGCAGTAAAACCTCTTAATATTGTTGACTAAGTGCAAGACCACTATGTTCTCATGAGTGTTTGCAATGCTTCTTTTGTAGGTACATCAAAGAAGGAAGCACAGTTAGTGTGATGGGAGTTGTTCAGAGAAACGATAACGTGCTTATGATCATGCCGCCACCAGAGCCTCTGGCGACAGGATGTCAATGGGCTAAATGTATATTTCCAGCTAATCTCGAGGGTATTGTTTTGAGATGTGAAGATACCTCTAAGGTTGATGTCATTCCAGTGTAGCAGAAACCTCTTGTTAGGTATTCTTCTTCCCATGTCAAATATCGATGTTTTGTTTGTAGCCCAAGTGTGACGGTTTTACAAGTTTACCCCTTTGGTTCACACTAAACTCCTAGTTTGATGTATAGCTAATGGTAAATCTTATTCGTTTATTTTTAATGAGGATGTGGTTTTTATGTAGTGAGATAAGTTGTATTTCCCCGAGGAACTTGCTGTTTACAACCAAACCAATGGTTGGCTTGGCTTTACTCCCTTGTCTATACATGTCCTAGTGTAAGAAGGATACCTAATAATCTTTTTTTCTTTTGCCTGGGAATAATATATCAATCAAATGAACCAAAAAAGCAGTGTAATTATTCAGTTTACATTTTGACCTTCATCTCACTCTCTCTAACTATTTATTTAGCCTGAGTTAAAAAAAAAAAAAAAGAATTGCGACATGGCTCCTCCGTTTATGATTCACAATCTGATGTATATCCATCTCTCAGCTTTCATTGGAATGTTAGACAGGAGCAAAATGGTACCTTAGGATGCCATTTTCCAATCTATTTGGTGCTTGGAAAAGAGAACCAGGATACAGAAGACATCGAGGGATGTACATTATAATTACTTTTTTTATGCACTTTGCATACCTGGTATCAATTAATACCTTGATACAAGAGAGGGTTTGAAGATTGCATATTTATTTTTGTGCTAGTCCCGTGGAAAACAGACGTTATAAACAAAAAGGGCATCGGCATTCTATTTTAATGGTACTAAAAAGAAAAAGAAGATAATTATGGAGAGAAATGGTAGTATGGTCCTTGATATGAAAGCCACGTGTGTGAAGAATGCGGTGGAAATGAAGAACGTGTCGTTGAGAGGCGAGGTTAACATTCTGGAAAAGGGGAGGGGGAGAGAGAAAGGAGGCCTATTTATGGCGTGACATATCCTTTAACACTCATGCAAATCACATCACAATGGATAGAGATAGGGCTATTCTGATAGTAACAGTGTGCTTGTTCATGTTCTTGTGCTTGTGCTTTATTACTGTGACTAATGGAGACGAAGAGCGGAAGCAGAGGACGGAACCAGCACCATCATTTTGGCCATGGCAGAAACTAAGGAGCTTCTATTCTCTGTATTCTAAAGTTTGGTCTCCAAGTACTTGGTCGTGGCAGTTGTTAAAGGAAGCTTATTCCCGTTTCATTTCTCCAAATCTAGGGTAAGCCACCTTGTTTGGATCTTTGTGACAAGTTGAATAAAATTTGATATCAAGAATCCAAATCTATATATCTCTATGTAAATATCTGTATGTAATATTAAGATTCTAACTGTTGAGGTCAGGATTGCTCTTGAGAGCATGATATTAAAACTCAACCAGCCGGTCAAACAATAAACCAGTGAAGCGATCTAATCAAGAAGAGTTTTAAATGAGGCAATCAGATTGGATTTTATATCCATTTTCTTCTCTTACTAAGCTTCAAATGACACTATTTTGAGTTTAAAGGGGGGGAAAAAAAACAATCCATTATATTTGTGCTTTAGTAACTCTATTTTGTTAGATTATGTGTGATTTATATATGAATGTTCCATTCATTATTTGATTAATGCTTTTTTCCCTGAAATATTACTTTTTTAGGATTATATATATAAATATTATTTTAATTTTAATTAAATAATTACTTTAATGATTTTTGGGTTGACCAATAGTCAATTCAGTTATTACCACCTTACGTGTAAGATTGATGAAATGTTGTGCAGATTTAGTAAAGGAGGGGAGAAGATGAAACAAGCATCCACAAAAGGAGGTTTGGGAGCCGAGGATAATGCTGCGAAATCAGGATGCGAAAAACAACATCAAAATGAGCTCTGACCTTTAAACTAATATTTCCTGTTTTTAATTTTAATGTCCATTATGTCTGTTTATAAAATCTTTAGTGTCTTGTAAATATTGTCTCTTTCTTAAAGTAAGCTAAGTTCGAATTCCCTTCTCAGTCATGTTTTTTTAACATTTTTTTTATAGTTATCTAATTTCTACCAATAAATTTTGAATACTATTACTTTATACTACTATTATTATTGAATTACAATATTAAGAGCATGAGGTATACTAAATGGTACTGTATGGGATCAAACTCGTGACCTTACATTTAAAATGAGAGTTTTCATATTACTATGATATAAGGACATGGTACAAAATCATGGAAGGCAAAAACAAAATTTATTCCACGTAAACAATTAAAATATCATTACATCCCAAGGGTGAATATCAAAAATCTCTAACAACATTATTCATATGGTACCTATTAATAGTGCTAATGAACGACGGTTCAAGGAATGTTCATTTCAATCATGATTAAAATAATTATTTAAGATACATATAAATTACTAATGGTGAAGAGGGAATGATACCTACATGATTTAAAGATTAAATTAAATTTAAATAAGGATTAAAATATTCGTAAGTCTAATAATGAATTGGTTTAAAAATTTAGTACTTGTTCTATAATTCTTAATCATCAAAATGATAATTTATGAGGAAAATGTCTTAATTTGTAAAAGAAAAGCTTATTAAATATATCACAATTTTCAAGTACTTGATACTCTAATATCATTATTTACAATTATCAAAACACGAATTTGCAAGTAAAATTAGTTAAGAAATAAACAGTGGAATTTTCAAAAGGGGACCTCTCATGACTTATCCCACTAGAATATGGTATTATGTATGACCATTCACCAACTTTCTCCATAGAAACAGAGCCAGGATTTGACTATAAAGAAGCTGAGATTAAAAGACATATCTTACAAAATTTTCATAAATTTTAGAAGATAACAAGTATATAACAAAAATTTAAATTTTAAGTCATCCCAAAAAAGATAGATGCTATTCCAAATTACAAAAAGCCAATCTGTCGGTCATTACATTAGGGTATAAGCTATCTCCACAATCATATATAAATTTGATGCATTGCACCCACAAAAGCATTTGGTTTAGTGAGTAGTCCCCATCCCAACACAACTTCATTATAAAATCAATCTTCTGAGTGTATTTTCCTACTGATCTTGTTTTGGTTACAAAAAGAAAACTCTTCAGTTGCTCCTCAATTTCATTAAGAATTCTGTTAGGAAGGAGCATTGATTGCATGTATAGTTAGGTAGAGCAGTTAACATTGACTTGATGAGAACTACTAAATCTTGCAATGATATATTGAGTATTTACCCTTCAAAGTTAACAAATTTTCCATACTTTTTGCATAATAAGAACAAAACTAGCTTTGGTAACTCCTCTTTGAAGAAAGGGTATTTTCCAGTACTTTTCTAAATAGACCAATACTCAACACTTGGCTCGATTCCTTTTTTTTTATTTAATTTTTTTAAATTATTGCTTATAAGCATTCTTTTATTAAAGATAATCTTATTCAAGACACAGTTGAGTATTAAATGTAGATACTTTTTTCAATGAGGATTTGAACTTTAATAAACTATGTGCCTGTTTAGTATTTTACTTTCTACATTTCAAAAGGACTTTTGTGACTTTTAGAGAGTAAAAGTTGTTTGCCTAACATTTTATTTTTAAATATACATTCTAAAAGTCCATTTATATTAGCATCAAAAGTCCTTTTTCAAAAAGTTAGGGAGAGTGGTTTTTGGTATTTCAAATGTGAGAGTTAAAATGTTTAACCAACTCTTTTTCATGTTGTCTCTTGTTAATATTTTTTTTTTAAATGCAAATAAAAATATTATATATTTTTTAATAAATCAAGATTAGCATAAAAAAACCACATATGATAAAATTTGTCTTTTTTAGTAATTACACATTTAAAAGCACTTTCTATCATATATTATCTAAACAACTTTTAGCTTGTCAAATTTAACTTTCAAAAAAATGTATTCAAACATAAATCTCCTTATAATAACTAACTTTTATCAAATGAATTTTTTATAAATGAACTTTTATCAAACTAAAAATAAAACGCATTCAATGTTATGAGAAACTAACTCCTTTCAAAAGACCCAACCCTTACTAATATTTGGTTCAATTCCTTTATCCTATTGTAATTTACTTTCCTTCAGCAAAAAGCTTTTGATTTAGGCAAGCTAATTCTATGACCTGAAGATTCGTAGAAAAGTTGCATAACATTTTTAACTACCCTTTTTCTTTTAGCAGCTTTTGACCATCCCAATTCACTCCCCACTCACTTCAGTAAATAAAACGAGATCATCAACCAAAAAAAAAAAAAACGTATTATATATAGATATCTAGAAGCCATTTTTAATGGCCTCCATATTATATTGATGCATCCATGAATCAACTACCAAAAATTTTCCATAAAAAAGCGCAAAAATAAAAAGATTAAGGGGGTTGCCACCTTGCATCACTTCTTTAGTCAGGGAAAAAGTTGTGTCTCTTCACTATATATTTTAGTAGTGGCAAGCCAAGATTCTGAGTAATTTCATTTACATATTAATAATTGAAAAAATAATAATAATAAAAATTGTTTTATAAATGATAATTTTTTATACAATAATATTTGTATTTGGGTAAGGTGAAATTGTGGGCTAAAATTTACTGGGTTGAGTTAAAAAAAAATTGTGGATCTGGGTTAGAAAGTAACATGAAACGAATTCGCAATATATAAAAAACTATACTCCTATGCACATGTAATTCTTTTCAAGTGCATGTGGCTCCATTACTGTATTTTAGAGTACCTTCACAGATGTCAAAGTAACATAAGCCATGACACTTGATGAAATTTTCTTTCAAAGTTAGGCTACCAGGAGTATCTTTTATAAAATTCTAGTCAAGTTTGTCATATCCCTTCTCCATAGCTCCTTTGATAACCACAAAGCCTTTCCTTCCCATTTTGTCCTCATATTGTGAATCACTCACTTAAGCTATGATAATATCATCACATCTTTGGCCCCCAGCAATGATACTACATTGATTTGGTTTAACAAGTTAAAGTAATTCATAGTATAACTTGAAACCTGTTGGCTAGAATCCTTGTAATGATCTTGAAACTCATGTTGCACAATGAGATTGGAATCATCTTGAACATAGCAGGATGATCCACCTTGAGAATGAGAACCACATTAATTTGGTTGATGCACTTAACTCTTTTAAAATCATGGAAGGTTTTTTAAAAACAAGGTTGCAAATATTATTTGTAATTACCTCCCATTGCTTAAGAAAGAGGTAAGCTTGAATATAGTATCTATGGATTTGATGCTATAAAACTAACTTTGGAGAAAGTAGTGTTGTTCACTTCTAGTAACTTGCGGTTGGATCTATTGCCAGTTAGAATCTTCTTTATTACAATGCATGTAATATTAATTTTCTAGTAATCATAAATATATGAAAAATTTTATCTGAAAATTAAAATTTATTTTTATATTAATTCCTTTAAAATTTACAACTATTGTTTCTTGGTTTTTTTCTAAAATTGAGTATTTTGTGTTTGCCTCTTTGAAATCGTTATATATATATATATATATATATAATGGTTGTTTATATATATATGTTCTCGATGATTTTTAGTGGGAAAATACAAGTCCTGTTTTTTTTTTTTTGGAATTATGAGAATTAATCTACTCTTCAAATTGCTATTAATCCCACATTTCACAAGCGCACCAAACATATTGAACTTGATTGTTATATGGTTCGTGAAAGCTTTAAACCAAGATCATTCATTTAAATCCCCAGCCTTTTCATGATTAATGTTCATGCTCTAGCTTGTGAAGATGTCGGGCCCAACTTAATTTTGTTTAGTTAGTTACTTGTAACTAAGTTTATTAATTATAATTTACAGTTAATTATCTTGTTATAAAGTTTGTGCACATATAATTTTGTACATGTCTTTCATAATAATATACATATTTTCCATTCTATTCAGTATTTCCATTCAAGTCTAGCAACAAATCGTATTTATAAGAATTTAGAATAAGCTTTTGAATTTCTCATGAACTTTAATAATATTTTATAATTAAAGTTAATATAAATATATTGTTCAGGAAAAAGTCATAAAACTAAGGGAAAATGATAGTTAGGTCTTAAAGAAATGAATTAATGACAGTTAGGCCCTTAATAAAATTTTTCACAAAATGAATTATAAATATCAATTTAAATAATTATAAATAAAAATTTATATTTAAATACTTATTTGCAATTCAAATTCCTGAATTTTTAATAAGTTGGATCAAAATTTTCAATTTATTTTTTTAAAAAATTATCAAAGACTTAATTGGTATTTAATTTAGTGTTTTGAACCTAACTGTCATTTTTCCTAAAACTAAAGTATTACAAAATAACCAAGGACAGAAGCTAACTATAAAATAAAATAAATCTTATTAGATGACTTGAAAATTTTGTTGCCAAAATTTATGAAGCAAATGATTAATGTCCAAGATTATAGTGTTGAAATTGCTAATGTTGTTGGAGAAAAGTATGGTTTATAAATGCTGTTAATTTGAATTGCAGTTAGATAGATTATGATGAGTACAAAAGAAATTTATCCACCAAAAATCAACTCTCAAGCGAAGGAAAGGAAATTAAGATGCATCTTGAATATATTTTATAATCAACTTTTCATTAATAAATTAAGAATTGAGGAAAATTGCAATAAAATAGTATTTATGCTTTTTTTTATAATTTCTTGAGCTAAATTGTCCACATTTAATATTAAAATTTTTAATTGACTTTTTAAATATATTTTAAAAAATAAAGTCAATTAAAAAATTTTAATATTAAATATGGACAATTCATGTTAAATTGAAACTTTCATATTGATAATCATATTTATAAAAATTTTTAATAATTTTTATTTTAAAAATATAAATTAAAAATTAAAAATTAAAATATTAAATTTGACAGCTTATATTCTGCTTAAGCGAATAGACAGAGAAGGCTTGCCTCTGCAACTCCGTCCAAGAATCACAGTTGGGAACAAAAATATAACTTTTATACATTTATATAATTAACTATAAGTTTTCTATTATCCTTTCCGGAAAAAATAGAAAAAGATTGAGACCTCCACTTCAGCCATTCTCTACTTAAGCATTTGCGATTGCCTGATCCGATTTCTCTCTCATACCGTTTTCGCTTCAGATTTCATATCATCGTCTTCTTCGATGGCAAGATCCATAGCTCAAACCCTAACCCTAGCTTATCTCGGCCGAACTGTATCCGCCAAATCTCTCTCACCTTCGTCTCGACTCTTTCCTCATCGGACCCAATCCAATCAGTCCTCTTCCGATGTCGGTGACCTCGATTCCTCTTCCAACGTCGACCCTCTGATTCGCAAGCTTGAGGATGCCATCCACTGTATCATTGTTCGCCGATCTGCTCCTGATTGGCTCCCCTTTCTACCTGGTTCCTCATATTGGGTTCCACCGCCTCGCGCCGCATCTAACGGTCTTGCCCAATTGCTCGACAAGTTAGCAAATCCCATCACTGAGGAGGAGTCTATGTCCATCACCACTGTTCGTGGTTGGCCTTCGTCCTCCTATTTCATCCAAGGTCAATTCTTTTTTACCTTGGTACTTCTATGGATATACTTTTTGTAAGGCAAAATAATTTTACAAAAAAATGTTGTCTATCTATTTGTCTTACAAGTAAATTTTGTTTTATATCTATGCAATTGATGAAATTGGTTAATGATCCAACTTTGGTCACGCAGAATTCATTCAAGTTTCTTTTGCCAATTGTTCGAGAGGCTACTGGCATTTAGCCACAACATTATTCTCTCAATAGAAATGCTTGTTAATTAATATAGGAAAGCAATTATAGTTGAAGAGAACGAAATTGGGATATTGGTTGAAGACTACTGGAGTACATTATGTTGGTTCGTGGGTACTAGTTGGTTGATTTCCTAATGTACCTTGGCAAACGTTTTTGTTTATACTTAGCACAAGCTATAATCCTTTATGCATTTGCCGTATTTTACTTGAATGTTACCAAATGTCATTAATTCAGATCCTATATGACAGAGGCGGCCCACTGCCAATGCTTGTTTTGTAGTTTTCTAGTCGCCTTCAAAATGATTTATATTTAAGTTTATCAGTCAGCGTTAGAGGCATTCGGTTTGTTGATGTCTTTATTCATTTAATCCATGTGATTAAATTGTGGCCTTCTGCAACTTATCAGCTATTTGTCTTCGTTTTTAGGTGGTGCTCCACATCCAGTGGAGATGGAAACAGCGTCCAGTTTTGATTCTCAGTCTGAGGACGAAGAGGGGTGAACACCGGCTTTTATCAACTGGCATCTGGGGTAATGTGCGTGGGACATTTGTTTCTCAAGTCGACCTATACTTTCTGATTTCTTGAAATTCTTATACTAAAAAGTTGATGTGAGCATGCAGTTTATGTATCTGTTCAATAATGCAATTTGTGGAATGCTGACCAATTAATTTTAAGTTTGTCTCCTCACCCTTTATTTATATATTGAGTCTGGGTTGCTAATTGTTACAATGAAAAGTTCTTTTTAAATAGCGACTGCCACCTGATTCTATGTTTATGTTACTTTCAGGTTTGTTTTTCTTTATTTTGTAGCAAAACTAGTGCTGTGTTTCTAATATACTTGAATGCAGCACGTCTTTGAGAAAATGAATTACTAGACTGCGGTGTATGGAATTAAAAAGTGATAAAGAAGATCATACCTTGCACCTTTTATGTTGATTTAGACTCTAACCTATGCATGTTTGGAGTTCCTTGATATCGTGGAAGTTCTTAACTTAAGCTATAAGATGAGTGCTGTTTGTGTTTTTATTGGAAGACTAACAGTTAAGTCCTAAAGAGGGAATCAATGATAGTCAGGTCCTTGATAAAAATAAGTTTGATTCAAATAATGGAAATTCAGAAGTTCTAATTGCAAAGAAAACATTTAAATTCTTGAATTTAACAACTGAGATTCATGTCTACAACTTTTGAATCAATATTTGCAACGCTTTCTTTAGAACACCTAACTATCACTAATTTCCTCTTTTGGGACTTTTTGGTCATTCTCCTTTTTTTATCTTTTTTATCTTGTTTTTTGTCTTTTTGCATAAGAATCTAGGTTATGTTAATTTTCTTGTTACACCTTTAGATGATGTTAATTGTATTATACCTACTTTGGCAGGCTCATCCAGACTTGTAAATTTATGTAGTGTAATGACGGCGATGCATCTCTTGGCTGGAGGGGCTGTACAGATGCAACATCTTCATTGGCAAGCAGAAATAATAGTTTCTTAGTTCTTATTTACTGAGGAAACTTGCCATGCAATCCCCCTTATATATAATTGTAGAGATAATTACCTTGGAAATTGGAGTGCATTGTAAATTATTATCATCCTAAGTTCAATATTATTGTTTCTTCTGATTCTTGGGGTGGCCTCTTCTTCCCTCTGCAACTAATAAGTAATCCTGTCAAGGTTTAATTAGTAATCTGATAGAGCTGAAGAATTAGAAAAGAGTTATACATCATTTCATATGGCCTATAGCATAATCTATGGGAAGGGAAATGATATAGGGAAGAGCAACACCAGTGGACTGAAGAATGTGGATAAGTGAGTTGCCCAAATGTTCCTGGCTGTTGGGGAAAAGGTGATGTATGAATAGGGATTAGGTGTCGCTAGGGATGTGTTCAGTCTTTTGTAACTTTTTGGATCTCTAAATCTGACCCTTAGCCTAGAGAGGGAGGTGTGGAATCTTTTGAAAGTGGAGAGTAGTGAGGAGAGCTTTACCCTCTCGAATGCGAGGTTAGGGGGGAGGAAGATCATCTTTCTTAATCATTTGTTCTTGTTGTAGCTTGTGGTTGTGATATTGTCCTGAGTGTATTTTTGATAAAAAGTGTACTGAGTGTGTGGGGGAGATGAGAGTGGCTTGAATAATTATTTTCCTGTAATTCAACTTTATTATTCAGCAGCATAAGTATTTATAGTCCCCATTTGCACTGTATTTTCTGTCTTTTGCTTGTTTAAATCTTATTAGATTAGAGGGTTCCAACATAATCTCTCAAGACGACCTGTTTTTTGATCTGTGTATGACTGAGTGTCTATCAAGTTTTACAAATCTTGGATTGAGTCCTTGGGTGCCATGGAATATGAATCATTATAATCAGATGATTAAAACAGCTCTTACAATAATGATTCAAGAAAAGACCAACAAAGTGTGGCTTATGGTGAAGGGATGCATGAACCCACGCAAACAGCAACATTAACAATTGAATCAAAATCCTAACAAACTTTTTTAATGAAAATATTTCATTAAAAAATGTAAGGTATGTTTTGAAAAATTAAATGTTTAAAAATGTAAAATATTTTTAATTTTTTAAAATATAATTATTATTTTTCTTTTAAAAGTGTTCTTATTGAATAAATTATTTATGTTTATTTTAGAGTGTAAAATTTTATTAATAAAAGTAAATATAAAAGGTTAGATTAGTTTGAAGATAAATAATTATTTGATAGATGAAATTTGATTAAAAATATTCTGTACAAATAAAAGATAAGGTACTTTATAGCATTTGGGAATGTATTAATTGTTTTGTTGAGACCAAATATGCTGTATAGCAATGAATGTAATAAAAGATCAGATTTAAAATGATGACATAATTGGAGAAACGAATATTAAAAAAATTAGTAAAAAATCAATTAAAGTCGTTTGAATAAAGGCTAATAGAGATGCCAACAGAAGAGTCGAACAAATGAAAATGAATCTTTGATACACCTAAAGAGCGAGCGGTTGATAAGAGCACATTAACGTGATATATCTCATGTACCAATCACATCTAGTAAGAAAAATTTATTGTATAAAAAGTACATATTTAGACTGCGCCGCTCGTTTATCAAATATCAATAATTTCTATTGAAAATCTGCAGTTCATGGTTGACTATAAACATAAAAAGGTAATACAACTTGCAACCCTAAAACCCGCGCGATTGGCAATCAGTTATGGCCAAGATCTTTTTACTTCTCGAGTGTTGTCACACACTTCAACAAGGACATGTTTTAAACATAAGATTACATGCTCAACTGTTTGACCAATAAGATTCTTCATGCATAATAGCTTATTCAAAGAATAGCGCACAGAATCCCCCCCCCCCAACTTTATTGGTACCCAATTTCAACAGTTAAAAATTGTAAAGGAAGTATTATGTATGTGGGGGCAGTAATCAATTGAATATGAATTATTTTCAATATATATATATATATATATAATTGAGACTTCACACAAGGAGACAAAAATCCTTGAATTAACCTTTTTTTTTACAAAGGATAAAGTTGTGAAAAAAAGTATCAAAGCATTCCTTTTTATACGTATCCACCCAAAAACCATGACTTGACAATTTTTTAACAGCCATCACATTTTGAGCAACAATTTTTGTGTTTTTTTGGTAAAATACAAACATTTAAAAGAAAGAATCAACATAGTGTACATTTGAGTATTGTGGTAACCCATAAACTATGAGCTGGGTTTTGCCTTCAGTTTATTTTGCTGACAGTTAACAGAGGAAAGATCTTTTCTAACTTCAAGGAGTGAATAACTTGTATCCAGACAGCCATATTAACATGACATCTTTCTCAACGAACCAAGATGATGCACAAATGTGTGAAGAACCATGAAGGCAAGAAGCAAATGTAACAAATTCCACGTGGCTCTGCAAAACATGCATCCAAGTTATAGAGTAACATGGCAGCCATATGATCTCATAGCTTCTTTTAAGAAAGAAGAAAAACACGGGTGAAGAGTCCAAGACAGTGGGGATATCAATTATAATATATATTATTCGTGAATAGCATGCAAAATAATCCAACCAAGTGTTACACAATAATGCAGCCACTTGGAAACACCCAAAGCAACCAGGATGAAATTTGATAACAGACATGCGCCATTCCCTATTATTAAAACAAAGGACATTGGTCCTTTGTATAACTCTCAATTGCTCCAAGTATCATGGTAAAATTAAAAAATTTGTAGTATTTTTATATTTTATTTCATTTATAATAAATTTATGCTTTTCCAACATAACTGCAGTTAAGTAATTGAGAGAAATACGCATTGCAGAGGATCCATATCCAAAGCAAAGCTTCAACCACAATTGCAAGCATTGAAATAATAACTTTTCTAATAAATTACTATAAATATGAATAACTAGATCAATATTCTTTATTACGATCATATAACATGCCTTAATCTGACGGTCTCAAAAAATCAAAGACATCTAATGAGACAAAATTGAGTGTATACTCACCAATTAGTAAAGGCCCAACATTCTTAGTTCAGTCACGTGACTTGGATCAAGTTCAGGTATATTCTTTATATGTTCTCGATCTTCTACCACGTATTCCTAATATCATTAAAAAAAATAGAATAAACAACATGTTAAACGTTGAATACTTTATAATTTCTACAAATAAGATCCTAATATGAAATCAATTGTTAATTTGTGATCCATATATGATAGAAAACAAATATATAAATGACAAGCTTCTAAGAAGCAATTATGCCAAGTGAATATGTAAAATGGGATAGATGACCTATATTAAATCTTGTATTTAATGGTCAATAGTATAGATACCAACAATATCCCTGAATTATAGCCTTAATAACAGTCATCATCAAACTTATAATACAAGCAGACATTACAGTCAAGTCCTAGCAAACATATGCTAATATTCAATTCAACTATATAATAATCCTAACAACCTGGTCACACAAAAAGTTCATTTGATACTTTGGTCATGCTTTCTGGAAAGTATTCATTTAATAGTGCCAGACCAAAACCATTGCCTTGGTGGAAATTATAAGAATATACTAACTAATATGAAAACCACCAATTAGATAGCAGACCTTTGTCAATTCCTGTTTGGCAAGAACGTGGTAATGGCGTTCATTGATTCTTTGGCCACATATAATGGCTATGAAAAAGCCATAGAGCAGACCCACTAAAATGATGGCTAGAACTGCAAAATAAAGCAAAATAATAAACTTGCTTGTGCATATGGTGCAGTTGGTAGATTGATAGCTTGTCAGCCAAACATACGACATTGATTTTTTGTTTTTGGGTCAACAATAGTATTGAATTTTTAATTCAATATAAAAATATTATGAGACACCATTCTACTTGTTAAGTGAAAGCCCAAGAATAATTTTATTATTATCTCTAACAACCATGAGCACACTAGCATAAAAATAATTACAAATGAAGAAAAAGCTCCAGACAATGTCAAAAGGCAGGGGAAAAAGTGAGGGATGGACATACCAGCCATAGTATAGAATCCGTATGGATGCTCTTCATAACCAAACATTTCTCTCAGCTCATCCCCATAAAATTGTACACAAGCACTCCCAAGAATGCAACAACCTGTTAGAATTTGAAAGATAAAATATATGATTAGGTATTAGTTACCAGAACAAAAAATGCTATTCTAAAACAAATTTATATAACATTGTATCTCATCAAACAATTATTTGGCTGGGAAGTGATTTTCAATATGGCTGGTTTCCTCAGCTTTAAACTTGAACCTTGAAATGCACATCTCATTTGGTTAATCCTTTTTCCACTATCTTAAGGAGGTTTTTGTTTAATTAATTAAAGAGGGATTTTAGAAATTAAAATAAAAAAGTCTATACTTTAAGTTGATTAGAATATCAGTTCCAACGGTTGACCAAGGAAAAGAAAAGAACTTGTCTTATGCAATTATATAGTTAAGAATTTCAATATATTTTTGTAAATAACAAATGAATTTGCCTCTGAAATCCTTAGACTTGGCTTGGAAGATTGGCTTTTGCTACATTAAGTCAAGGTAAGTGCAATCTAGTCCAAACACCTTTGATTGCAATACCCAACAACAAAAATTGAGGAGATTTATACTGTATGATTTGACACTTCACCCATAGCAACCAGCACGGCTTCAGTTTCAATAAAGTCCTAGTCAAATATAAGAAGGGTTTGCTAAACTTTATTGTTTGAAGCCTTTATTGATAACATTAAGTTATTAATCTCAAGCCTTCATGCAATCTATGTCAAAGTTCAAATCATGCAGCGCAGAATTTAGATTTCAAGCAGTCTCACAAACTTATCCTTTCTAAAGATGCTTCTTTCAATGCTAGATTCATTCATAGAAATTTCATGAAAACTTGCGCATGTAATAAACAAGTCAGACCTTGTCTCCATAAAAATATTTGCTTTTGTTACACAGGAAACACAAACGATATCCTAACATATATGATGCTTCCCTCACAAAAATTGCATTATTATATGGACTCCTCAGATCACAATCATGGTTAACACTTGATTGCTATATGGAGAGATAATATATACAAATAGAGATGTTCATGATAGCAATACTACAAGATTTTCATCAAGCCATAATGCTGTATTAAATTATGTTTCCAACCGCTTTAAAGGAAGGATAAAAGTAATGGAACTTACACAAAGTACCAAATTTACTACAAAGAGTTTATTAGTCCCATACCAGCTGAACAGTTATAAAAATAAATGCATGATCCCTAGCAACAAGGAACTGGAATTTTAATCTCAACCACCACCGATCATTTGGGACATTAGCACGTAATATGAAGACAGCTCTGCATTCTGTACAGTGTGAAAAAGCAAAGCCTTCCTATTACAACAAAAGGAATGAAAAGTAAGTACAACCCCAAGTCAGAGGGTAGAAACCCTTCCTAGACCTTCAACAACAACAACCATTGCTAGTGAGGTCGGCTACATCAAAGGAATAAACTTGGTACTTGATCTCCAATCAAAAAATACATATTTCTACTTCTCTTGAATAAGATATCAGTAACATGATTTAGGAAAAGGGCCACAAATAAGAAATCAGGAACTCACCTTAGTAGATCTCCAATTATCAAGACATGATCTGTGGACATACTTTTGAGTACCTTTGCAATGGCATGGGGCAATTATATCTTCTCCTGGAAAATATATTTGATTTGAAATTTACGGAATTGTGATTTTTAAATGCATGTATTTCTTGTAAGTTCACAAGTATGGTCTTTTTTGTTTTCAACATGATTTTATCTTGTCAAATAGCCACCAGCAGGTGGGGCAGGGCGGGGCATCCTCACCTTCCTTTCTAAATATTGATGATTTTCTTTGTTAGGAAAGCTAAAATAAATTTTAGAACCCCCCCAGTTTTATTTATTTCAACTTCCCACAACCCCCTAAAAAAAAAAGCGTTGACCAATATCCACCAGTGCAAATAGCCTAGTAAATTCATTAAAAGGTTGTATAGACCTCCACTATCAAGGCATATCCGGCATTGTGGCTGATCTCCATTTACCAGATGACATGTTTCATCAACTTGAATATTCTGCAAATCATCAACAGCCAAATCCCTTACAGCATCTGTAATTTCACATGAAACTGGAGGTTCTCCAAATCCTTCCAAATCGCAATGCTGATTCAAGATGGGTTCACTCTCCGAACATTCCTTCCTTGTTACCATTTGATGCTAATTGCATTTCGGAAAATTTATAAGCAAGATTATATAATGAGATTCATTCCCGGCACTAAAACTACCGCAGAACATTTCAACATAAAGTAAGACACCTGCAAATTGGCAAAAGAATATACTTGTGAGGAAGCAGGATCTAACACTGATGAGTCAAATCATTATCATCGTGTGCTAAACAAAACATAGTGTAGCTGGCAACAGTAATTTGGAATTAGGGATAGAAATAGGCCCAGCCATAGCCAATAAGCCTGAGCCTAGGCTTGTAGATTGTACAAAGCTTTTATTGTAGGTTCAAGCCTAAGCCTATCAAAGACCTGGCCTAGCCTGAAGGCCCATTTAAAGGACTACTTTTTTAGGTAGGCCAGGCTTAAATGCTTAGTCTTTGAAGGCCTTAAGCATATCAAAACCTACTTAAAGCCTGTATATTAAATATTAACATGATTTTTGCAAACATTAAAATATGAAAATTCCATATAATATATTATTCCACACAACAGCAATCCATCTAAGGTAGACAAATATAATAATTTAACAAATGAAAATAGAACAATGAAAAATAAAGCTACAAGAATCCAACAATATACAGTAGTGGCACAAATAATGTCTTCAATATGACTTCAATAGATTATTTAAAAAAGGATATTTAGAATAGTAAACAGTATACTATCAACTTTTGTCTTCAGACTTGATCCCAACTATTAGGTGTTGTTAGTTACAAATTACTCACGAAGGAGAAATGATAAATGACATCCAGGAAAAAAGATCATCTTCTACTAAACTTTACATTATTTCATCTTTAAACATGTATATTTTTACAAGAAAAATTATTTTCATTCCCCCAGACTTAACAATTAACAAACGGATACTGGGGAATATCTCCGTAAGATTGTAAGGCAAACATGACACAAAAGGAATATGTACAAACATGACAAGCATCAACTTAATTTTAAGATAAAGAAAGATCCAAAGATAATTCTAAAACCAAAAAGTTATGCAAGAACAAGCTTGAGATATTTGCTCAGTGACTATGAAAGAAAGGTTTTGTGTTTATCGATAGAGTTAGCTTCATATACCTCACTGTGTCTCATTCTTCAGATTGCAGAAGCAGAAATGCACCAACGGAAACATATTTCTTTCCTAAACGATGAATCAATTATCAAGTCAGAGAGGGAGTTGAAAAATTGGGTGAGGGTGTTCTATCACTCATCAAAATGAAAGTAATTAACTTCATCAAAATTCTTGTCCTTGGCTGATTCAAACCAGTTGTAAAGTTCTCCATAATTTCAGTAGGTGTGATACAAGAATAAAGGGGAAGAAGACTATAGGAATGCAAGGATAAGGAGGAGAGAAGGCGTGGGCGCTAAGATTCTAAATGAGTGTTTAATAAACTAAAACCATTTAAGATAGAAATCGTAAGCGACGAACATAAATCATTAGGCAGGAAGCAAAATGATTTACCTCACAATTATGCGGATCTGGGCAGCGACGGCGAAGACGAACACGAATCTGAGAACGGCGCGATGAGAGCTTGAGATAAAAAGCCAGTCAAGGCGCGTAACGGAGGACACGCGGGTTACCACGAAGATGGCGATGTGAGGAAGAGGCAACGTTGATTGAGACCGGGCGCCCAGGTGAATGTGAGGAAGAGCGAAATTCAGATCCTCTCCGCGGCTGTTCACTGGGCGTCCCTGCGCGGCACCCAGATCCGACCCGTTCATTTCATCCAGCTTCTCATCCTTCGCCACGTCATCCCAGGTTGCAGAAGACAAAGCCTTCTCGTCTCTTTTTTTCTTTTCTGTTCCGGCCATACTTTTCTGTCTGAGCCTCTCCTTAACCCAAAAAAAGGCTTGCCAAATTGAAAGAAATTCTAAATAAATTCTTCAACAAAATATGTTATTTAAGTTTTTAACATACATTAGGATGATAATTTATAAACTATGGAATAGAATAAGTTGTTTTTTATATTTTAATTTGCATAAGGCTTATTCTATAATAAGATAAGAGGTTATTTATTTCTATTCTGAAATAATTTTTTGGCTAAATGTATTCTAAAATAATTTATGTGGAAATAAAATAAATTTTTATTCATATTCTTAACATGCACAAGGTAACAAATTTTAAAGTAAAACAAGATGTTCATACACCGTGGAAGAAACAAATTATAAAAAAAATATATACATGTTTTAGATTTTTAATTTGCATAGATATAAAACAAAATCAAATTTAAGTGTAGTGATTCTCCGATTTTAATAGCTAATTATTATGGTAAGGCTATCCATCCATCTAACATGATTTTTTTTTTAAAATTATTTTTTATTTAAATATCTATTATTTAGTCAATGGTCATGTGACTTAGTGACACGTAACCCATTTTTGATGGTGAAAGGTCTCAAGTTCCATCTTGTTATCTTAGGTATTGTTTGCCTTATGTAATTAAAAAAAAACTATAAATTAGTGTTAGAGCTGGATCATCTCCATGGCAAGAATTACCTGCAAAATTGTGGCATCAGAGTTGCAATGAACTTGCATAAAATGAGACTATCAAATATATCAAGAAAATGTTTGGATTTTTGTTTGCACGACCAGAATTCATCTTCCAGTGCAACTTAAAACATGCTTGTTTGGATTCCTTAAACTCACATTTAAGACAAAAGAATTTACCCATAAACTAACATTTAAGTCAAAACATGAAGCATTCTGTTTAAAAAAAAAAAAAAGTCAAAACATGTGAAGCTTACTTCTCCATTTTGCGTTTAAGCTGAACCACCTTCAAGCAAATCAGTTTTCAGACATGGCGTTTAAGAAACCAACTTTTAACTTCTAGGAACTATTTTGGCAATTTCTAAAAGTTAGAAGATGTTGGAAAAAATTACAGGAAGAAAGTACACTATGAAAGTGTTTTGATTTTCAGAATATTATTGAAAATAGATTTAGCCAGATGTAACTCTTGCTAGTTTTTCAAATTTACATTTCCTTGTTTAGCTTCTTTAGAGTTGGAGGAGAGAGAAAGGAAATAAGTTTTTATGAGAAGAAATTTCTTTTGGTTTGTTTTTAGTAGATCCCACATTCTTTTCAATTTTTTTTTTTACAAAAAAATAGATACTTGTTTATACTTGTGTTTTTGGGTATTTATGAGAGAGTTAAATATGTTAATTTGTAGTATTAATGTATATTAAATTATTTATATAATTTTTGTCCAATATGTCAAATTTTATATTTTTTATTCTTATTATTTTAACATATCAAATTTTATTTTATTTTTCAAATATTTTTAATATAAAACTTTTCTATAACAAAAATTGTAAATCATAAAAATCAATATCTTTTTTTTATTAATTATACATTTCAAAACACCCTTCATCTTATAATGAAATCCCAAAATGAGAAACCACAAAATGCAATCGCATTAGCACGGAGTTGCATCCTCTCCACAAAAAGAGGCATATGCATGTGCGTGACATAGTGATTAGAATGAACACACAAAATGTAACTGCAAAATACATTAACTATTTACGTCATACTGATGTTGCCAGTTGTGTGTTTGGTTGGTGAGAAATAGAGAGGCGAGAATTTTAACGTGTTCAATTTTTTTTTTTCAAAAAAAAAGGAGAAATAAGTTTAAAAAAAAGTTTAATTAATTTGCCTCACTCTTTTAACTTACATATTCTTTTTTATTAAAATTTTATAACATCACTTATCTATTTCTTTTAAGTCCAAGTCATGAGATACTCATCTCTCCCTCCTTTCTCTCCAATCAAACAAGGAATAATATGATTTTTTTAGGTTAAAATAAATTTTTAATCATCTAAACTTATACATTGAGTGTTACAGCCCCCTTCTCTCATGATTAAAGTCTTAGCTGTTTCTTTGTGCCCTCTGTGATTGAGAATAGATGTCCTTGGTTTTGGTTCATTTGTTTTGTTTTTTGTTCTTTTCCTTTGGCTATTGCTGGTTTTTCTTGCTGCTGTTGCTTGCTAGCATTGAGACTTAAGTTCCATTTACTTGTTAAAAAAGAATGAAATGAAATAAATTAAAAAAAATAAATATAATAATAAAATGATCAAGAGGAATAAGTGAGCATATTCACAAGAGTGAGAGATAATTTAGTTCATGAGATTAAAATTTATAACTCATGAGATTTTTAAATAATGTAATGATTCTTAAATTTATAGTATATATTAATAAATTTTATCATGCTTAATGTGGGACAAAGAGTGATTTAATTAATTTTTATCTTATTTTTTTCAATCCAATTTATTTTAATAACTAAACGGGACCTTAATTATTACTTCTTGTTTTGTTGCTAGTTTAAACGAAATATCTTTCTTGTTGCCAAGGAAAAAAAAAGAATAATATATATCAATGCCAACCATATAAATTAATAAAAAAGTATAATTATTAAGTGAAAAATAGATTGAATTTTTGTTTTTAAAAAAAAACAGAGAGAGAACGAACCGATTATAAGTGATTGTATTAACAAAAAAATTAAACTTATTTGAGGAATAATTTATTTTTATTTAACTATATATCCATGCCAAACCATCAATATATTTGACACATAAAATTATTTTGAAAGTCAGTGTGTTTTAAAATTTAAAAGACTCACTAACATAATAATTTAAAAATATATAAGAGATTAAATTGATAAAAAATTAAATTTAAAAGACCGAGAGAAAATGATGGAAAAATCCATTTAAATTAGGTAAATAATAGATTGATCCCACAAAATGGTATAATTCTCCTGGAATCCCTTGGAATCTTTTTGTCATTAAAAAATCAAATAAAATGATCAAATTGCCCTCAAAGTAAACAAAAATCCAAATCATCATTAGAAAATCAAATAAAATGATCAAATTTTTCTGCTTTGTCTCGGGTTCTTTATTCACCCCTTAATTTGTGGTTTTCTTCTAGTTCGTCTCCCTCTCCCTCTCCCTCTTCTTCTCGTTCTCATGTTCTTTCTTTTTTTAGTTTCTATGCATGGGTTGTTTGTTTTGTTTGGCTGCTATGCATGAGTATATATAGGCAAACATTCTTCATTTGTTGTGTCTCCTGTACGTGGGTAAATTTTCTCTCCTCCTTGAAATTTTCTCCTCCCATATGTGATAGTTTAAATTGATGTGAATTATTGTGCGTAAATGATTGGGGTCTTCATTTTCTCTCCATGCTTAAAGCTGAAAAATGTGGGTACTGATACTTACTCAGATGGTATTGTTAAATTATAATTCCTTGTTGCATAGTTGCGAATTTAGAGGCAAAATTTCTTAAAATGGAATCAAAATTGTGAATGAAAACTTACGAATTTTCAACTTTGATGCATGTTTGGACTTGCATATCAAGACTTGCAAATGGAAATAAATTATTTTGAATTTAGGGACAAAAGCTGTTAACCTAAGAATCAAAGTTGTGAATGGAGATTTGTAAATTTTCAAATCTAATATTTGTCTGGACTTGCACACTATAACTAGCAAATAACTAATAAATTGTTGTGAATTTTGAAACAAAAGTTTGTTAACTTGAGAACCAAAATTGTAAATGAAGACTTGCGAATTTTCAACTTTGATGCTTGTCCGTACTTGCATACCAAGACTTGCGAATAGCTAATAAATTGTTGTCAATTTAGAGACAAAACTTGTTAATATTAAAACCAAAATTGTAAATGAAGACTTACGTATTTTCAATTCTAATATATGTTGGGGTAAAAGTGTCATTTTTTTAATTCCGTGATAACAAAAAGATTTCAAGAAACTTCAAAAAAAATTATATCATTTTATAAAATCAATCTATCATTTATTTAATTTAAATAAATTTTATTATCATCTTTCTAAAGATCAAACCAATAATTGACTCGTTGGAGAGAATAAAAATTTTAATTTTCCTAAATAAAAAGTCAAAAATGGAGATAGAAATCCGTCAAGCAAAATGTAACTTCTCAACAACCTTGACAAGACGTGTATCTAGTCTTGCGGCACCAATGGTCATATCATCTATTCATCCATCAAATAAAGGAATCCCATTTCTGTGAGCCACCTCTGTCTCTTCTATAAGATAAAGATTTAATTTGAATTATTCAAATTTAATATTTTTATTTTTTATTTTTATTTATATTTTTAAAATAAAAAAATATATAAAATTTTAATAAATATACCTATTAATCTGCCACTTCAAATTTTAATATAAATAATTTAAATTTAATATTAATTTTTTTAATAAATTTACTGTTCTGTTTAAAAAATACTTACACTATCTAAAATATATTTAAAAAATCAATTTAAATTTTTTATATTAAACTAAATCATTCATATTAAATCTAAACTGTCAAATTAATAAATATACATATTAAATTTTTTTCTAATTTTTTTATATATTTTATTTTAAAAATATAAATAAAAAATTAAAAATAAAAATACTAAATTTAAACTATTTAGATTCACTTTTACTCCAAAGGAGAGGCAGAGGAAACTTATCTCAAAGGAGAGAAGCCAAGTCCCAAATAAAGACACACTCATCTATATTTTATTGTTTATATTTTTATTGGACTAGATAGATATTGGGTCTGCTAAAATTCGCCATAAAACATCTTTCAAAAGCTCATCTTGCTACAACAATGAATCCACCCATAAAAATACATTGCTTAACCAGTCCATACTCCCACTAATATTTCTATAAACTCACAAGCCTCAAGGCATTTAATTCCTAACTAAAAATGAACTTATTGAATAAATACAAAGGAAAGAACAAGTTTAATCTCTTATTCTAAAATGAATAACTGAAAGGGCAACTGGAACATATGATTCAAACTACACAAATACTAATGGAAAGCCAAACCGGCACCAGAAGAGTGGCGCAACATGATCCTCATCACATCGTCTCTTGCACAACTTAAATAAATAGAAAAACCCCGGGGCGATGTCCCCGCAAGATCGCACCTGCCTCGTAAAACCAATTGGCACAACTGACAGCTCAGACATGGCTTGCACATTCTCCAATCACCGGGTTTCATCCTCAAGGTTGCGGAAACCATTGGTCAGGTCCTCGTGTAATTTCTTAAATTTAGCAACCAGAGCTGCCTCACCTTCTGCTGGATCCTCAAATTTCTGAGACCTGTATGAGCAGTGGGGTCAATAAACCAGGACTATTCTGGGAGAATGACAGCTAAGAATCTCCTTGGAAGGTTAATACCAAAACAGAATTTTTAAAGATTTTCTGTTCTGGAACATAGGAGGATAAGTACTAAATTTGGGAATCTAAGTTATGATGCGATCTTGATCTGACATTAATTTTCTAACGAGATCCTTAGTTGTCATTCTCCCCTTGCTTCCTAGAAGCTTTAAGTTACCAGAGTTACTTACACTAAACGGTAGAAGAGATCTCCCAAGCGATGCTTGATGATGGTGTAAGTTATCTTTTGACCATCTGAGCCAGCTCCCCTCTCTACTGCCTGCAACTTACCCACCAGATGTATTCAGATTCGCCGTTTAGATGCTATTTAATTAATCTTAACTGACACTGTTATGGCTAAGCCATATATAAGGATGCATAGAATTTAAAAAAAAAAAAAATTAGTCTAAGGTGTTAAAAGATGTGTGAATATCTCATGATAGCAAGTTTAACGACAAGAGACATGATGTTAATGTAGAGCCTAAATCCTATAATTATAATTGGAAAGTCAGAAACCCTGCCAGTTTGTAGAAAACCCCAGAAACTGAGATTTTAAGTGAATTGAACTCGCTTTTTTATTAATTTGACTAGTGCTATGTTAGCAAGGGACAATGTCTGCTTTACTAAATCAGCATGCACAGGACTGAGGTTGCAGATGTTGCTAGAGCTAAGATGTGGACGGGCTAGTCCATGGAAGAAACTACCAGTAAATAAGCTAACACCCTCCAGGGAGGGTGAGGAAAGGAGACCAACAATTCTTGAGGACTTGTTGATAAGTTGGTGATAAGTATGTTGTCATGGAGAAATGGAAAGTGATGGTCGAGGGCAGTTAGCAGCAGGATTGTTATATATAATTGAAACATTATTTTTTAAAAAAATTCAATTGAATTTATAAATGTTAAGATCTATTCCGGTTGACATAATTTTAAATGAATTTTTGATGTATTTGACTTCAAACATCGTGCACAAATAACTGGAAGAGGAAAGGAAATTAAATATGGAATCCTCTTTTTCTTTTTATTTTTCCTCACAGTAAACTACCTGATTTGCCAAATTGTAGAAATGGATGATGTTCCGCATCATCCAAACAGACTTGTAGAAGGGACAGAATTTGTCATATCTGTTACAAACATAAAAGATGCCCTCATAAGGTCAGCAACCAATACGATACATAAGGAGTTCAACTAAATGATATATGTTAAAGAAGCTAAACAATCTCCCCTCTATTGTATTTAGAGTCGGATGGTTACTGTCGTTCTATAGTAACCATCTGACATCTTTATTTATGTTTTTTATAGTAATTTTTTAAATTATTATATAGTACATAAAAATAAAAGATTATAAGGGCTTTATAATAAGGTGGGTATGGGACCCACAGTGAAAAATGAGTAGTGAATATGAAACTGATACTAAAAAATACTTCCTCCGGACCACAATATAGGACATTTTCTAAAAGTCTCACTTAATCTAAAACGTAGGGCATTGAGTAATTTTTATAATTATATAGATAAGTGCGATTTAAAATTTGTAAGTAATTTTGTTTACTTATCTCCTTTGCATTTTATCTATATTAAAATTTTCATCTTCTACTCATTTTTAGAAATTGAACTCATTAAAATTTTCTCTCCTCCTATCCCTTATACTACAATTGAAAGTTATAAAATCTAGTTAGTTACGAAGGTACTCACGGGGTAAAAGCATTCTGAGCAAGATAATCCTCTCTCAAAAGCTTTGCAGTTTCCAAGGTGATCTTATCCCCTTCAGCTAAAGCATCCTTGCCTACAAGCTGCAGCAATTTAAAAGGTCATAATCATATCAAATGCAAGTGAGATCCAGGTTGGCTAACCAGTTATAAAACAGACGCACAAACAGTAATAAAATGTTATGCAAATTATAACAAAGCCATTAAATTAAATGATGTGGTAACGCTCCACTCATCAAACTATTCCCTGCATTGACTTTCTATTGTAACCAGGTTTACAAGAACACACTGCATAACGATTGATTCTCAGGGTATGGTAACTCCACTTTTCATAAGCTGAACAACCCAACCCAATGGCTCAACCCTTGTCCTTCCCAAGAGGGAGGAAGGGAGGAGTTGTTAAATTACATCAAACTACACAATCAAGATGATAGAACAATAATATGCTTATATACCTGCACAATTTCGTTCAGGTCATCTTCTCTCTGTAAAACTTCTCGAGCCTTTGTCCTAATGTTGATAAAATCTGGATCAAATTGCTCGTAGAATGATTCTAATGCCTGGGGACACACCAAAGCAAGGTAAGATAGAATCAACAAGAGGAACTTTATGCATAAAAATGAAGGGTGAAAATAGTAAATGAATCTAGAATGACAAAATTTATGACATACCCCAGAATACTTTGAATAGGAAATAAGCCAGTTAACAGAAGGAAAATGCTTTCTCTGGGCAAGCTTTTTGTCCAAACCCCAGAAAACCTTTCAAGCAACAAAAATGAAAGCTCACAATGAATGCAGAGATTGTAAAAAGTCAGCAGATTCAAGAATTTATGGGTATCAGTAGGGACATCCTGAGGTACCCCTCATTCTCTAGCAGCTCCATTTTGATGACCATATTAAAAGTATATTTTTACCTGAACTATGCTGAGGGTTGCAGATGTCACAGGATCTGAGAAATCTCCTCCAGGCGGAGATACAGCGCCAACAATTGTGACACTACCAGTTCGTTCAGGACCTCCAAGACATTTTACCTTGCCAGCACGTTCATAGAAAGAAGCTAAACGTGCAGCAAGGTAAGCAGGATATCCACTATCAGCAGGCATTTCTGCCTGTTTTTTTTTGAAAAATAATAATACAATTAAGTTAAACAAGCTAAGCAAATTGAAGCAACACAATAAGTGAATTCGCATTAAAAAAATACTTATTTATGTCACTCAGATGTTAGAAAATACTATATGCTACTCAAGAAGGACAATAGAAATTAAAAGCAGATCTTCAAGATCACATGAATGCTAAAATCCAGAAAGAGGAAGAGAGAATCTAATGAATAAATTCCATTGGAAAATAAATTAATAACATAATCCTCACCAGCCTTCCAGATATTTCACGCAATGCTTCTGCCCATCTAGAAGTCGAATCTGCCATCATGCTGACATTGTGACCCATATCTCTAAAATACTCAGCTAGAGTGATTCCTGAAATTACGAAATAAATCAGTCACAAGATTATCTCAAATAAGTTCACTTTCTCCAGATAATATATCAACCACATGAGTGAATCAAATTTTAAATAGTTTTTGCCATTAACAAGTAAATCAATCCTTGATTAGCATTCTAAAAGTGAAAAGTTTTAATACTTTCTCATTGTGGTTACCACCCCTTGGGTTTATCACTGTTACCATTTGAATATTTAACCAAAATTTGAGAAATAAAAAAAGTGACCATCACTAAAAATTACACAGCAATATTAGACTAAGATATGATATAAATTTTCTGTTAAAACCATGCAAACAACTCAGCCCCAAAAATATGAAAACAACATTTCTTTAAAAATATGAGCAAAGACATTAAAATTTTAGTTTTGACTTTCAACAGGAAAATAGAACCACAGACTAGTTGCATATCAAGGTACACAATACTTGTCTCCCCAACTGTTGACACCTTAAACACAGATCAACAATGAATTTGACTTTATTGCTTAGATTTTTACAATAAAATTCTGCTGATTGCAACAGTAAACAAACTTGTCATGCCAAACATAAAAATTCTGATAGAGGACAGCATAAACATTAGCAGAAATATAAATAGCAACAGTAAAAATAATCACAAGGATTTAAGAGAGAAGTCACCTGTATAAATTGAAGCCTCACGAGCAGCCACAGGCATGTTTGAAGTGTTAGCCACTAGTGTTGTACGCTTCATGACAGATTCTTCACGACCATCAGGCAATGTCATTGTAAGTTGTGGAAAGTCCATAAGAACCTGAGGAATTGTTAAATTAGTTTAACCGACATAGACAGCAGCATCACAGTTTAATAGAAATTTACTAGAAGTAGCAAGAAAGAAAACATACTTCAGCCATTTCATTTCCACGTTCCCCACAACCAACATAGACAACAGCATCAGAGTTAGAATACTGCAAATAACATAACCAGAAAGGTCAATTAACTAGGGGAAACATTTAATAATTACAAAATCATTATGCCGTGATGGGTTATGTGAGGTTCACCTTAGAAAGAGCCTGACTGATGACTGTTTTGCCACACCCAAAAGCCCCAGGAATAGCACAAGTCCCACCAAGAACAGAGGGGAAAAGGGCATCAAGAACACGCTGACACAAGACAAAGTTATCAAACATCACAGGTGTCAAGATAACAAGGATAAGACCACCAATAACAATTAAGTCTACCTGACCAGTGAGCAGAGGAGTATCGGCAGCAAGTTTTGATGCAACAGGCCTTGGTGTACGAACAGGCCAAGTCTGTGAATGGGTAAAGTACATGAAAACTATGAAATTTTGTAGTGGATTATTAAAAGATTAAATATCAGGATTAAGGACTTCAATAAGTAACAAGAAGAACAACGCAGGTAACCTGGAGCATAGTGAACTGTTTTTTAACACCTTGAAACTCAAGCTCCAATACAGTATCCTGCAAGAGTGTATAGAACGAGAAAACTAAACATGCTGCAATAGTAACAGGGAAGCTTCTGAATAAACTAACATTTGCAGATGAATAAGCAAAAAAATTACAAATTTAATAACCCTACCATTACCACAGACGTATTTTATGACAAAAAAAAAGAAGAAGCAGAATACAACAAATTTGATAATCCTGCCATTACAAAAATTTTATAAAACTAAAATTTTACAAGATTTTTCTGCCCTGTGCATCACACAGGGACATTTTAAATTAATATTAATCGAACATTGAGTAAGCATTAATGATTTGATAGTAATATAAACATAAAACCTTGCAAAAATTGAGTCATTGTTGAGAACAATAATTTTTATTGAAGAAATTTAAAGAACTACAATTTTTCTCAATTAGAGGCCACGAACATAACAATTAAAAACAATTTTAAAACTTGATAGCAGTAAAAGACTTAAAAATCACAAAGAGAGTAAGATGGAGATAAAATAGTGAAAAGTTTAAAACACAAACCTTCAAGGAATATTGTCCAGGTGGTGCAATGTAAGTAATTTTTCCCATGGCATCAGGAGGAAGTGCAACATGGTGCTGCATCAGACTGTTCTCAAAAACAGTCTGTGATGGGAAATGATTTATGAAAATGCTTTAGGATACATTTGATGAACGAAAATAAGAGTGACTGACAAGTTAATCTATATGGAAAGGAAACTTACAGCATAGAGATCTCCACCAGTTAATAGGTCTCCTTCACCTACCACCCAAAAATAAAAAATGAATCTCAGAGAAAGATGACCACAAACAACAGTTTACTACTTAGCAGCAAAAAATTATTGACTTTCTCTGATTACCAATTTTTTTAGGCTGAAACTCCCACAGCGTATCTTTATCAAGTGCTGGAACAGAAACACCACGAGGAATGTAGACATCTCCAGATCTTTTAGCAATAGTTTTCAATGGCCTCTGTTTAAATCAATGAAATAAAAGTTGCAAAAATAAAATAAAATCACTTAATACAGAAAAGAAAAAAGAAATCATATGAAATTGATTTAGAAGTCAACTAAATTAAATAAGAAAATAAAGCTTCAAGTAAAGGAAAGACAAACCTGAATTCCGTCAAAAATATTTCCCAATATTCCAGGACCCAACTCCACTGATAAAGGCTGTTATACAATATAGTGCTAATCAGCTGACATATATCAAGGCATTAATAAAATCAGTAAATAGAATTTACAAATCTCACCTTATGTGTTCGTAAGACAGGATCGTTGACCATTAAACCAGCTGTTTCCTCATAAACTAAAATTGTACACAACCAAGAAGCTTGTTGTCAAAACTCAGAAAAAGAAAGTATCATACCCCTTATTTAACCATAATATATCAACCAGAGCGGGGAAAATAAGCACGGACAGCAAGCACACATGATGAAGAACAACTCATAGTATAGAACCTTGGATGGTAGCAGAATCCCCTTCCAAACGAATAATTTCACCAATGAGGTTGTCACGACCAACACGCACTAGCTCATACATAGCAGCTCCAGCCATGCCATCCGCAACCACGACTGGTCCTGATACCTGCAGTAGTAGGATAACGATACAACTTTAGAAGCCATGGAATTTGTGCTTAAAGTGCAGGTCAGATATCTTGATTCACAATAATGGGGCATGATTGACAATTTGACATAGGTAATATAGCTGCCATAACAACTCCACCATCCCCAGATCTCCAACAAAACGAGAGCAACATATATCGGAGGGTATTATGACAGCATAACAACATCCAGATACCGCACTATGCATCATATACAGCAGCGAACGATGATTCAGATGCTAAAATAAAGACAATGATAAGAGATCAAACTTTATAAAGGATGGTAACTTTACCATAAAAAGACAGATTCAACTGAAAATCCAATCTTTTTTATATTAAAATACGCAACCGAGTCCATAGCTCACGATACAGAGCATGTACGACGAAATTAATCAAACCTTCAGCTGAACTTGGACAGACAAGTACCGATTCTCGATCCAATCATAACGAGAATTAATATCTCACACATTGAAATAAATAAAGGATAGAAAAACCAGCTGAATCAATCAGATTATTTTTGTGCTGACCATTTGAAACTAAAACAAATGAACAGATCGAAAAGATGAACATACCTTTCGAACGTAACCGTATTCACTCTCCTTCTCGGAGTCTTCGAAGGTGGTCATGCGAGCTCCATAAACAGCCGGCATTTTCAGGCAGAGACTGGATCGGCGACAGACGATGAACAAGGAAAGAGCAAGGAATCTGAGATTGAATTTGAAGATCAGAGGTATTGCACCTCTAAAAATGATCAAAACCCTAGAATTTCAATCGAATTGGGTGACAGAGATATTAAGAACATCAAATTTCAGGGAGACAGAATAGATAGTAGACAAGCGTCAATGATTGATGGGTAAATGTGCAGCAGGGGCTCCGGTGTGTGATATGTGAACGTAGTGGTGGTGAAGAAGACAGTGATCAGCTGCGTTAACATGTAGCATAACAGCATTGAAGCGGCGGAGAAACGGTGCGCTTAGTCCGAAATACTAGCATATCAAGATTTGGATTCATGAGTAGATTAATTTAAATTAACTCACTCAATCAAAATCTTAATTATAATTATTATATTTATTAATATTTAAAAATTATCAAGATAAATTTTTAAAAAAATTAAAAAAAATCCTCACAACTAAAACACTTTGTACATATGATATCCCCACTAAAAAATTAACATTTAATACTTTTTAAATATTATATGATAAAATTTCTAACAATCGTTTAATTAAATCAATCAATTATTATTATGTCATATGACACACTCATTGAATGAATATATTTATGCCACTCATTAAATTTAAATCATATGTATCAATGTTATATTTTATAAATTCTCTATGTATATATATTATATAAATTATTAAAATGTATGATTTATGACAAACTGTACAATTCATAATGAGTCATGCTCTTGGAAAGATTTTAACTAAAGTTGACTATAATTCTAGATCAAAATTATAGTTTTCCAATTTTTTTATCTTTTAAATTATGGTGAATTTGAATCAAATTTAATAAATAATCTCTCTAATCTTATTTATGAGGTAGAAAAAGAGAAAAATTTGTTTGTCCTATTTACAAGACATGTTGATAAATATATATATATATATATATATATATATATATTAAAGTATGTATATTTAATAGAAATAAAATAAAAAACTTATTAAATTTTTAAATAAAGTTAATGAATTTTATAATTTTTTATTTTCATTAAAACATATTAAAAATGTTTTATAAATAAGATTGCAGGTAATAATAATAAATAATGATGTCAACTTTAATAAACTAAAGGCTTATTTAAAAATTGAAGACCTAAATTTTTAAAGCTGTTTAAAAAGTATGCTTTTTGATAGGTTTTTGAATAAATCATAAATTATCAAAAACCAATCTTCAATCAGATATTGTAAAAGCTTTTGATAAGGTACTGTAATTGTATGTAGAGCTGAGAATTCGAGCTTGTCGAGCTTATTCAGGTAGTCTGAATAAGCCTGACCCAAACAGGCTCGACTCTTTAAAAAGCCTGAATAGCTAAGCCCAGCTTGAATACTCGAATTTTATTTTTAAAATTATTTTTAATTAATTTTTTACTTTAAAATTAATTATTTTATTTTCAAAAATATATTTTTTTTGATATTTAAATGATATATAAGACCCAAATATATTATATTTTAATATAAAATGACCTAAAACTTAAATAATTAATTAATATTTATTATTTTTTATATATTTTGTAAAAATAAAAAAATTATTTGAGTATTTGGGCCAAGCCCAAACCCGATCGGGTTTGGCTTGACTTTTTTCAGGCCCAAATGGATTCAAACATAAAAATGTCATTTTTTTTTAAACTCGACCCTAATTTTTTTCGGGTAGGTTCGAGCTAGCCCATCAAGCTCGACTCGAATTATCGGCTCTAGTTGTACAGTGCTTCACGCTAGTCTTTCTTTTTTAAATTTTATTATATATAGGAAATTTTATAAAACTATATTTTAAAGTAAAATTAAAACATGTTTTATTATGATTATTTAGTATTAAAATTTTAATGAAATATTTACATTTTTATAATAATATATTAATACATTTTTATTGCTGTGTATTTTAGTTCAATAATTTATTGAAAGTTCTTGAGAAAATGATAAATAATAAAGTCAATGAACATGATTATATATTTATTAAAATGTGAAAATATTTAGTGAAGAAGAAGTGTGGTGATTAACTAAGTTGTTTAATGAGATCTTACCATCCAAGGGAATACCTGACGATTAGAGGAGAAACACTTTAGTTTCTATTTATAAAAATAAAGAAGATATTTAGAATTGTGCTAACTACATAGAAATTAAATTTATGAGTCATATTATGAAATTATGAGAAAGAATGATTGAGCATAGGTTGATATTGAAAACTAATATTTCTGAAAATCAATTTGGCTTCATGCCAGGTAGGCGACTACAGAAGCAATTTATCTACTAAGGGGATTAATAAAAAAATTGATGCAAAGGTAAATATTTACATATGATTTTCATTAATTTTAAAAAAAACTTATGATTGTGTATCAAGAGAAGTACTTTGGAAGACATTGAAAAAGAAGGATGTCCAAGTTGCTTATATTTGAGCTATACAAGACACATATGAGGGGGTAACTAGTAGTATAAAAATGGCTGGTGGTGAAATAAAAGACTTTTCTATAAAGATTAGACTACATCAAGAATCATCTTTGAGTATTTATTTGTTTGATTTAGTCGTAGATGTTTTGATTAAAGAAGAAATCTCTAAATGAATGCTTTTCGCGGATGATATAGTTCTTATTACAGAGATAAGAGAAGAGATTAATTGTAAACTTGAATTATAGAGGAGGACATTAGAGTCAAAAGGTTTTCATTTGAGTACGAGTCAAATAGAATATCTACATTGTAATTTTGATAAAGGGTCATTGAGTAGTAACTTAAAGTAAAATTGGGTGATCAAATCACATATCAAGTAGAAAGATTTAGATATTTAAGATCGATTAGTCAACATAATGGAAAAATTGATAAAGATATTGCACATATGATACAAGTTGGGTGGTTTAATTGAAAAAAGGCTAAAGGAGATATCTACAATTGTAAGATACCTAATAAATTTAAAGAAAAATTTTATCGAATTGTTATAAGATTAGTAATATGATACATTAGTGAATGTTGGACTTTAACGAAATAGCAAGAGTATAAAGTTGAAGTAACAAAGATGAGAATGTTAAGATGGATGTATGGATATACACGTAAATACAAAATTTAAAATGAGTGAATATGAGAAAAAATAGACATTGCACCTATTGAAGAAAAAATAGTAGAAAATCGTTTGATGTGGTTTGAATATGTACAAAAAAAGACCAACTTGTGAAAAGAGTGAAACATATGATTTTGAGCCCTGTCAAGAAGGATAGAGAAAAGTCAAAGAGAATATTTTTGAAAATTGTTAAGCGAGATCTTTTAATTAATAATATTTTTAAAAATTTAATAAATGATAGAGCACAATGACGTCATATAATTTATGTAGTTAACCCCACCTAGTGCGATAATTGTTGTTGTTGTTGTTGTTGTTGATCTATTGGAAGTTCTACAATACATTTAGAATATTATCAAATTTTTTTATACTTTTAATGTATTTAGACAATTTTGTTTAATTTTTAAAATCGAGTTTTCCTATAAGGCCACATTTTTAAGAGGCTCATAATAATAATAATAATAATAATAATAATAATAATAATAATAATAATAATATATGTTTAGCTAAAACATGGTCTGAAACTTTCATTCTATTTCAACTCCATATGATAATATACATGCCCATAATCTAAATAATACATATTAAAGAAAGGTTAAAACAAAATTAATTTGTTGAATCAGGTTAGATCTAGTAAAAAAACCCAATCCTTTATAATATGACAAATTAATATTTTCTCTATTTAAAAATATAAGATATTTTTATTTTTTCAGATGTAATTATTACTTTTTTTCAAAAAATTTTCTATTGACAGTGACTTTATATTTATTATATGGTGTTTAATAGAAGTAAATATAAAAAGATAGGGTTAGTTTAAAAGTAGGTAATAATTATTGAGGGCGAGACTCAGTTAAAAATACTTTACATTTTTAAATAGAGAGAATATTAAAATTCCTTAAAAAAATACCTATATTTAGTACCACCAACATACTTGTCTTTGTGTCTGACCCAAAAAAAAAACACACACACACCCACACTTACTTGCCTTTATGAGCAATTAAAAAGTTAATTTGTTGGTATGATTTTGTTGGTTGCACAACAACAACAAGCATTTATCTTACTAGGTGGAGTCGACTACATGGATTACAAGACATCATTGTGCTCTATTATTTATCAAGTTTTTAGGAATATTATTAATTAAGAGATTGCGTTTAACAACTTTCAAAAGTGTTCTCTTAGACCTTCCTCTACCCCTCTTAATTGGGCTCAAAGTTATATGTTTCACTCTTCTCATTAGTGCCTCCCTTGATCTTCTTTGTACATGTCCAAATCATCTCAACTGATTTTCTACCATTTTTTTCCTCAATAGGTGCTACCCTTACTTTTTCGCGTACGTACTCATTTCGAATTTTATAGTGTATGTCCGCACATCTATCGTAACATTCTCATCTCTGCTACTCCAACTTTATGCTCTTGTTGTTCCATTAGAGCTCAGCATTCACTACTATATAACATTGTCGATCTGATAACAGTACGATAAAACTTTCCTTTAAGTTTATTAGGCACCTTATGATCACAAATAACTCCTTTAACTTTTCTCTAATTAAACCACCCAGCTTGAATCCTATGTGAAATATCCCTACTAATTTTGCCATCATTTTGAATAATGGCTCCCAAATATCTAAACTCTTCCACTTGAGGTATAATTTGATCTTTCAATTTCACTTTCAAATTACTGTCAACTAGTCTCTTACCAAATTTATGACATAAATATTCCATCTTACTCCTACTCAGACGGAAACCTTTTGACTCCAATATCCTCCTCCATAACTCAAGTTTGCAATTAACCTCTTCTCTTATCTCTGCTATAAGAACTATATCATCCGCGAAGAGCATTCATTTGGGAATTTTCCCTTGAATATATTCTGTCAAAACATTTAAGATCAAGTTAAACAAATAAGGACTCAAAGATGATCCCTGATGTACTCTAATCTTTAAAGGAAAATCTTTGTTTGACCATTAGGCGTTCTTATACTAGTTTTTACCCCCCTCATACATATCTTGTATGACTTTAATATAAGCAATCCATACTCCTTTTTTTTTCCAAAGCTTTTCAAAGCACTTCTCTTGATATATGGTCATAAGTTTTTTCCAAATTAATAAAAACCATATATAAATCTTTATCTTTAAAACAATACTTTTCCATTAATCCCCTTAGTAGATAAATTGTCTCTGTAGTCGATCTACCTGACATAAAACTAAACTGATTCTCAGAAATACTTGTCTCCAATCTCAACCTGTGCTCAATTACTTTCTCCCACAATTTTATTGTGTGGCTCAAAAGTTTAATCCCTCCATAGTTAGTACAATTCTGAATATCTCCTTTATTTTTATAAATAGGAATTAATGTACTTCTCCTCTACTTATTAGGCATTTTTTCTTAGACCGTAAAATTACATTAAATAACTTAGTTAACCATCTCACCCTTTCTTCACCTAAACATTTCCACACTTCAATAGATATATAATTAGGTCCGTTGGTTCTACCATTTGCCATTTTCTTAAGAGCTTCTTTTACCTCCTTATCATGTATTATTCGATAGAATGACAAATTTTGTTCTCCTTCAATCCTCCAAGTTGCTAGATGAACCCTCTCCATCATTGAAAAGTTTGAAAAAGTAAGTCTCCTATCTATTTTTAATTTTATCATCTGTAACTAAAATTCTTTCCTCTTCATCCTTAATACACCTTACCTGTTCTAGATCTCTTGATTTTTTTTCCCTACTCTTAGCAATCTTATAAATGTTTTGTTTTCCTTCTTTTCATCTCAAGGCTCTTATAAAATTTTTCAAAAGCTTTAGAACGAGTTTCACCCACAGCTCTCTTAGTTTCCTTCTCAGCCATACGGTATCTCTCCTAATTTTCCTCATTGTTACACAAATGTATGGCTTTAAAACAATTCTTCTTATGCTTGATTTTGTTCTGTACACTATTATTCCACCACTAAGACTCCTTATCTCTTGGACCAGAACCTTTTGATTCTTCCAAAACTACTTTTGCAACATACCGTATCTTTTTAGCCATATCCTTCCACATGATATTAGCACTTTTCTGAGATTTCCAAATTTCTTTGTCCAAAAGATTCTGCTTGAAAATATCTTGCTTCTCACCTTTTAATTGCCACCACCTAATCCTTAGTGCTACTACTTGTCGACGTTTTTGAATTTTACTTATAATACACACATCAAGGACTAGGACCCTATGTTGTGTCGTTACAGCATCCCCAAGAATCACCTTGCAATTTTTACAGAGTCTTCTATCTGTGTTCCTAACCAAAAGAAAATTAATCTGTAACCTTAAGGCTCCACTTTTGTAAGTGATGAGATGCTCATCTCTCTTCTTGAAACAAGTGTTGGCAATCTTAAAATCATACGTCAATGAGAAATCAAGAAGGATTTGTCCTTCATTGTTTAGCTCTCCAAAACCAAAACTACCACGCACCTTCGCATATTGACTAGCCTCCCTCCCGACATGCCCATTAAAGTCTCTTTCAATAAGAATCTTTTCACTCTATGGTATGTGTCGAATCAACCCCTCCAAATCCTTCCAAAATAATTCCTTAAAACTGGCTTCTATCCCGACTTGAGGCGCATAAGCACTAACAATATTAACAGTCTCACGTCCAATTATCATTTTTAAGAAAATAATTCTGTCTTTAATTCTGCTAACTTCTACAACGTTCTTCTTCCACTCCTTATCCATAATGATGCCTACTCCATTGCGTGCGCTTACTTTTCCTATATACTAAAGTTTGAAACCTTGAATATCCTTAGCTTCTTCTCCACGCCATTTTGTTTCTTGTAGGCAAAGGATATATTATTTTACTTTGAATCGTAACCCCTACAACTTCTACAGATTTACAATTCAATGTCTCAATATTTTAAGTATCAAATCTAATTTTGCTTTCATGGACTAACCTCTTTAGTCGCGCATGTTCAGAATAAAGTGACAGCCTTTGCTCATTTAACATTACATCCAAATATCGATACAGCGATTCTAATTCACTTATTACTGTATTCAAACCATGCACGCATTACTTCACCTAAACGTCCAGAGAGGGAGGGAGGCTGGAATTTGATGGCGCGTCACCATAACAAAACAACGGCTAGCGATGTGGCGAAGTCGAACTTCCTTACCCCTCCCATGTGAGGTCCACAAGTCAAGACCACAACCATTCGTGTACTGTGAGGCGAGCCACTGTGGTTGCCCCCAGAAACTTCGTGGAACTTTGGTATTGAAGAGTCACTCACAAAGGTACTTCGCTTCTTCTTCTTGTTTCACTCTTCAGTTCTGGATTAATTTTGGAACGTTATGGTTGTCGTGCACATTCCTCTCCTGATTCAGATTCCGAATACTGACTGAAATGGTCAATCGTACACGCTGAAATGCTCAGACAAACTGATAACGTCACTTTTCTCACCCTTCGCTGAATTGAGTGTGGCAATTTAATTGAATCATGCAATTTTGGAGTTTGGTCCGAACCTAAGAAAAGAAAAGGGTTCTTTATTTCCTTGACCTTTTTATTCGTATGCCCAAGAAATTGGATTCGAATTAACATATAATTGATATCTTCAATTTTGAATATAGCTTTCCTTCTTTATTGTTGAAGGTGAGCCAACAATATGAGCCGATTCATTCATATAAAGCAAACAATACAACTTCAGGCAGTCCTGTATTTTACAACGTTGGCTATAGACCTACACGGACAAGAATTATTTTGCTTGTGACAGAATTACTAAAAATTCGAGAAAGTGAGACCCTTGTATTGTAGAATTGCGGCTTTGGTAGATGTTTTTACAGACACCAAAACCTTATTTACTGAGGCATAGATTCTGTCAACATGCGAACGGAGAAGTTCATTTGCTCTAAAGAAAATTTAGGCCGATTGGCTTTAGAAGTAACGGGCTGTTGGAATTGTTTATCGTCGCTGCAGGAATGAACTTGGCTTTCTCTTCATCTGCTTGTTATCCATATTCTGGAAAGACGGCCAATGGCCAGGTTAGGCCTTTTAGGTCAGTCTTTAGTACCACCAGGAAACTCTTCAGGCCTAAAATGTTTCCATGTTTGGCATCAATAGCCACCCCAGAATCTCAGGTTGGTGTTACTTTTTCTGTTCTGTTGCTTCTATTTTACTTTCAACTACTTCCTGTTTCTTCATGGTCAGCAATATTTGGGTTTGTAGGCATATGATATTGAATTAGAGGACAAGAAGCTCATACTTTTAAGTGCTATCCAGGAGACACAGCGGGGACTCTCAACAACTGCTGATCAACGCTCTTCCATTGAGGAGTCTCTGGTTGCTTACTTTCTTTGTTCACTTCTTCAGTATGATCTATATTAGTCTTGTTAATCTAAATTCTTTGCTAGATATTGTGAGGACCATTTAGGATGAAAACGACAAAGGAGAATGAAATTGATTAATATGCAATTTTCCGGGTTTATGTGTTTGGCAGGTGAATGTGGAGGGGTACAACATGGGTGAGCCAGTTGATTTGGTGAAGTTGAATGGAACATGGCGCCTGCAGTATACTTCTGCCCCTGATGTGCTCATTCTTCTGGAAGCCGCTGCTAGACTTCCTTTCTTTCAAGTACTAATAATGAAATTAAGTATCTTGTATTCATCGAACAGCTCAATATTTTCCCAATGCTAATGAATGCGTAAACAATTTACATCTTTTAAGTCAAGTCTTAGACTTCTATTTTTCTTCTGACAGAATACTCTTCCTGCATTTTCTTTTGTAATTATGAAGAAGTGTTTCTATTAATCATTTAGTGGTTGAGGCTTCAAATTTAAATCATTTTCTTATCTTGCACGTCTTCATATGTTGCTGTTGATAGTTGTGTTGTCAGTAGGACCTTACTGCTTTAGGATTCTGTAAAATAGGGTCATGTTTTTAACATTTTATTACCCCACTTGCCACTTTATTGTGATAGGTTGGGCAGATCTTTCAGAAATTTGAATGTCATGATCAAACTAATGGAGGTATCATTCGCAACATTGTCCGATGGAGTATTCCAAATTTGCTGGAGGTGAAATTTATTACTTCCTTTGGTTTATCCTGTCTTTGTCGACAGGCTTTAAACCAGCTATGATTATAAGTTCTGCAATTGAGACTTAAGATTGCAATGATTTGTCTTTCTTAAATTATAACTTTGTGACTTCTTTTCTTGATTTCCTCTTCCATTTCCGCTAAATTATAGACTAGCTTCCTAGATTGCGCTCTTCAAGAGATTATGAAATATACAGTCCTTGAGCTAAACATGGCTAAGTAACTTGTCATTTCTATTCCTGTTACTTGTGATAATTTCTAATTGAGACTTTACTTATTCATGAAAGATGCGTTGGGCTTTTAATGGAGTTGGTTATATTTCATCTTGTGCAAATTTGTGAAATTTGGAAATCATATTGAGAAAATTTGGACTTTTTATTCTAATATGTTTGCCGTCAGTCTTCTTGAACTTGTATGCTTCAACCTCTAGTGACTTTGTGGGTGACACCAATTCATGATAATTAGAATAGAAGAGAACGAGTTGAATAAAGGGTGGAATTGTAAATGTAATTTGCATGGCTAACCACCAACTGTCTCACTTTTAATACTTTGGGACTGCTAGTGACCTCTCAAAACATTCAAGACGAGGTATCCTATTGGTTTTAGTTTGTTGGGTAATAAGAGAACCAGAATTCTATACCAGACATATTTGGCGAGTTCAAGACATATCAGTTGTTTCCAAGCTAGAGTGATGTTTCAAAAGCATATTTATTTAGGGTGTTTCCTAGTATGTTAGAAATTTGAGAAAACAGTCATTGATCTTGGAAATATGATGCTTCTTCTGTTTAATGCCCTTTCCAGCATTTCATTTTCCTTTTAACCCAACTACTTGGCCCAAGTTTAGTTAGTTGGGCCAAGAAAATTGGATGAAATGTTTATGCTTGAGTTGTGATCCTGCTCCCTTGAACCTATGAGTAAAAATTTCTTGGCCTTACCCATACAGGACCAAGAAGGTGCTACATTGCTTGTATCTGCAAAGTTTTCTGTTGTTTCTGCGCGTAATATCTATCTTCAGTTTCAAGAGGTAATCAGTCTGGCTTACCAAAACATGCTTTCTTCAATATTTCAGAAATAAAACCTCTCAAACAGGCATTATATACTGCTATTTAATGATAAATTAACATAGTAGATATTTTCTTCTTAGTAATATGTTTCTCCGTGATAAATTAACTTATGTTTTTGTGCATGGATTATGCCTTGTTTATCGGGAGTAATTTTACTCTTTTTGCACAAGCTCAAGATGAAAGCTCTGTTACATAATGTTGCTGTGGCTTCTAATTCCTGAAACAAATGGACTTTATTCAGGTTGAAGAAATGATCCATCTCAGTTTTTTACTTGTCTATTTTATTAAAAAAATTACTAAAAAGATTTCACGAAGGAATTGGAAGTGCAGATAACTTGCACATACAACAAATATTTATAAAGATGTGCTATCTGAAGGCTCAATGGGGGAAGACAGAAAATATCAGATTTTTTATCTCTGAAAGCTAATGAATAGCAGTACCATATTCTCTAATTGTGATTTGACAGTTTATCTTTTGGCAAATACTCCTCTGCCTCAATGTTTAGATGGCTTTCAGTGGTACATGCTTCTAATTTAATTCCTTGAAGGAAGTTTTAAGGCTTAATATAAATGCACTGGTTAACATAAAACTGACAAGATAAAGATGGAGATGTTGTCGTTCTCAAAAGTATCAACATTACCCATCATACAGCAGAAGAGATCCTTCTACTATTGATATTTGGTGCAAGTTTGATTTTTTCTTCTATAATTAGTGTTTAATGAATACATAATATTGGCAGATCACGCTCCAAGATATAATTATTAGTGAGGAGCTACAGGCTCTAATAGCTCCAGCAATACTACCACGGTCTTTTATAAGTCTGCAGGTAATTAATTCAACATTAAGCAGCTACATTTGGCTCTAATATCTCATTGACATTCATTAAATTAACTCATGAAGCGGTGTCTGCTCAAAAACTCTGGTGACATACTTTTTACATGAATGAGTTAGTTAACAGTCATAAAATTGCATGTAGTTAACAGTCATAAAATTGCATGCACTCACGCATGCAAGTTGTGTATATGATATTCCAGTTAAGCTGTTACTTATAAATATATTTTATATATTCTGTATACATCCTTTGCAGATATTACAATTTCTCCGTACTTTCAAAGCTCAAATCCCTGTTAGGGACCCTGGAAGGTATATGATGTGCTGTTCTAGTTGGGGCAATCACAATAAATAAAATAAAACTTAATTCAGCTTTTGTCGTTTCCTTCTTGAGTAGGTCTATAATGGTTCTTATCAGAAAACAAGTATCTAGGGACAAATCTATTAACACTGGTTTTTCCCCCCTTTGGACCATAGGCAATCAGTAGGAGGGCTATATTACCTATCTTATTTGGATAATAATTTGCTTTTGGGTCGTGCTGTTGGTGGAGGAGGAGTGTTTGTGTTTACCAGAGCCCAATCTCTTTACTGATGAGCGATACTTGAACTTGCCCTACTTGGCAACTGTAGTCAATAAGCCTATATTTTGTTAGCAAGCGATACGGAGATCAAGTAACAAATTCATCAGGCAAAGGCTTATGCCCCAGGTATACTGAAGTTTTAGATGCTACGTGTTTTCTTAACCTTGCATCAAGTGTCTCTCAATTATGGTAAATGTTCAATTTTCATTTTCCTAGATCGCTTCATGTAAATTGCAATGACTATTTAACAACCCTTTTCTTGGTTGAGTCCTCAAATACTCATCAAAATAACCATCTAACCTGCATTCAATTGGGTGTCTGAAGGTTCCAGAGATTTATATTTGAACTTTCCTTTTGATGGTGAAATTGATGGGAATGTTGCTCATATGATACAAGTTAATTGGTTCAAATTGAGAAAAGCTGCAGGAGTTTTCTCGAATTGTCATAAGACTAGTCATATTATATGATAGTGAATATTGATTTTTAAAAGGACAACAAGAATATAAAATTGAGGTAGCAAAGATGATGATGTGATGGATGTATCAGTATATATGAAAAGATAAGATTTGTAACGAGCATATATGAGAAAAATGGGTGTAAATAGTAGAAAATTATTTGAAATAGTTGGGCCATGTATAGATAAGGCCATGAGGGCATCGATGCGAAGAGTGGAACATATAGCCTTAAGCCCTGTCAAGAGAGCAAAAGAAAAACAAAGAAAACATTCAAGAAAGTTGTAGGACGAAAGCTTTTGATTACAAATATATTTAAAAGCTTGGTTGTTGATATATCACAGTGACATAATACAATTTGTATAGTCAATCTCACCTAATGAGATAAAAACTGCTGTCAATGGTGGAGCCACATACAAGTGAGGATGGGCACATGCCTCTCTCGCTTGTGAAAATTACATCTAATGGGTAAGAAATTTAAAATTTCACACCCTTGCTTTTTCATATTTTGCACTTCATTTTTGTTAGTATTTTGAACATAAAATCCATTTGATTTTTTCGCTGAATTTAGAATCCAGATTTTTCAACCTTTTAACTTAAAGTCTAGTAACATAATAAATAGATATATAATTGATTTTTAATTATCAAATTATTTTTAAAATTATTAATTTTTTAAAAAGAAACTTGCCCCTTAATCTAGATCCTGATTTCGTCCCTCCTTGTTGTCGTGGTCTTATTCTAGCACAATCATATCATCCACCCATGCCATTCTAAAAAAGAAAGGAGGATAAAGAAAGTTTTTTCTTTTCCATTTGAAATATTTTTGTCTATATATATTTGTAAGGTGATGGAGGGAGGGGGACCGACACAAGGGCCATGACCCCCCAAGTTTTCAATTCTTTTAGTATTATATAAGTGTTGTTACATTTCCGTCAACTTTGCTCAACTTTATGCAAACTTGATAATATATATTTTTCAATCTCAATCCCCCATATGATTAAATCCAGGTTATGCCCCTTTATTGGTGTGAGCATGTGTGTTCTTATATATAAACTAGACTCATCTTATAAGTCATACCAAATCTAAGGTTAGCTACACTGTTCATTAGTGTATAGAGTGACTTGTTATAAGCTTTATATAATATGTGGATTCTTCCTCACAAAAGCATAAGTGAAAAAACAACTATTGGTATTTGTAGTTTTAATGTGTTTTGGTATAGATTCTTGTAATTTTTTTCATTGCTTCGGGTCCCTTTAATTTATTTTGTTTACAACATTAGTCCTTTATTTTTGAATATGTATAAAAGAATGATGAAATGGCATTAACAATGTTAGATATGCTGACTTATGCCTAATGCCATTAATTTGTGTTGAGGTAGAATTATGATTCAACATATTGAAATATGAGACGTGAAAAAAAAAATGGATGGACAAGGATGTTAATCTATTGAATTATAATTACATCTTAATACAGATTAATAATGTTAGTCACATGTCAATATATTTAACACCATTATTGTCATTGTATCATTTTTTGGGCATATTCAAAAATAAAAGAACTATCATTATAGACAGGATAAATTAGAAGGATGTAGAACAACGGGGAAAAAGCAAGAACCTATACTCAAAAGCCTTGAAATTATGGGAACTAACAGATGAGTCTACAACAACTGAAACAAATATGAAAATCCATAGACTATTTGCACGTTTTCCCCTTCACTTTGCAGACTGTTTCCTCTTTGCAGTGTCTCTGAAAGTTTTTTTGGCTCTGCCCAAACGTCTGGGATCCCTCCATCGAAAATATCAAGTTGGAGAAGAGCCTCAATCTGGAACTGAAACTAGAGCCATAACTTAAAGAAAGAAGAAGGAATGGTGTTGGCAGTGACGTTGTTATCTGCTTATCTGCACAGGTCAGTCTGATAATGGATGATGAAGATCAGAGTCAGACTCCAATAAAGCAGAACGGCGACCCATTCCCTCGACGTGAAGGCCTTGAACCAACCTCAGCCTATTAATTTATTCACCTTACCCACATTCAAAAATACACGAGTTGAGATTAGATCTTTGAAAATATAATATTATTTTCAAGGATCTTGGATCTATGATCAATGAATTCCATGCAAAAGTATCAAAATATAAAAATGCTCTGAAAGTTAAAACTCAGATAATGATATCAACAGCAAAAAGTAGCCGCGTCACAAGCCACAATAGCACCATCCCATGTCCCATCTTAACAAATACATGAAATTGAATTTTACTTATTTCAAAAGTTGTTCAATCCTATTTGTGGTTACAATTTTTGAGTTATATCAATTACAACCACAAATTTAAAGTGAAGAGCGCAATTTTTTTAAAAATAATAATAATAATAATATAAATACCTATTTCTAATGGTCGAGATGTCTTGACATGGAATCTGTGTCCCATCCCAAGTGTGATTTTTTCCCGTCCCATTATACCTTGTTCCAAGGTTGGTGGTGAGTCCCTTCTCGAGACAATTAGGCAAGAGATGGGCCAATTAAAAGGGCAGTCCCATGATTACTACTAACAAAAATTACTATTCTTTAGTCCTATTTATAAATTATTTTTAGCATGTTTTATTAAAATAAAAAAATATTAAATCTCATTAATTTTATATTAAAATTTAACAAGTTTCTACTTTTACTCCTAATAAGATTAAAAAGAGTTATTTTTAATACTTTTTCTAGTAGTCAATAAAGACAGAAAGGCAAAAATGAATGTAAAAATAGTGAAACGCCCTATTAATAGGATCAAAATTAATTTTATCTTGCTCTATCTTGTAAATATGATCAGGCAAGTATAATGGTTATAAAAAAAATGGATTATTCAGAAATGTTTTTGCAGTTACCAAATCAATGTGATTCCTCTGAACAGCAAATTTTCGTTAAAAATTCAACAACTTGCATGATGCTTATGATCTCTTGATTCAAAGGATTAGTTGAACATGGTTGAATACATGAGCTAAGCAAAATAACATAACTTCAAAGCTCAATTACAACATACCACATCTATAGCTCATTAATAATTCAACCTCGAATGTTATCCCCAATCACTACAAATTTTTGGTTAGTAGTTGAGAACTTGAAAGATTTCCAAATTAGACAAGTTGGTATATCATCCGACAATATCTTATTTTACAAAATGGAATACACGTTCTTTATTGGTAGAATCATATTCATGGCGATGAATTCAATTCTCCTCTTGCTTATTTTATATTCACATTTTGACCAAAAAAAGAAAGTACCTCCTTTCCTTATTTTCCAATATAATGTAATGCAACTTTAAAATTTTTTAATTTAAATAGAGATAAAATTGAAAGTTTATTTTATTTTTTGACAAACTTGCGTTAGGTGTGTTCAAATATCAGACCGGATTGGGTTAGTGCCTAATCTAAGGTTTGTTCTAATTTTACAACGGGTTAAACATGACAACCCATAGTCTAGTTCAGCTCAATATGAACCTGACACAAGATTGAGTTACTTGGTCTACCAGTTTACCAGACTAATCCGCTGGACCTCCCTAACTCAAATTTGAGCCATGAAAATGCAGCAGTTTTAACAGTCCTACCTGATTCAGATTAGTGTGAGGGTTTGAGGCTTGTTAAGCGGAAAGTACCAGGTGCAGCACATGGGCATAGATATGATCCCCTAAGAACTATGTTATCACCACTCTCAATAGCACGTTTTCATAACAGAGCTTAAAGACTTCAACGTGAGTTTTTTTAGACATAGTAGATATAAATTTACCAATGCCCTCAGCAGACTTTTTTTTTTTTTTTTGGAGAGAGAGAGAGAGGATGTTGCCATCATACTTACCACAAGGCTAGTTATTATATTATTAATTAGTTATGGGGATGATACAATGATTTTTCAGGACAGTATTATGAGGTTATCTGGATGCTTTCATCATTCATATAAAACTAGATTTCGTTTTACATCTCCGCCAGATGGGCGTGGAATTAAAAATTAAAAAAATGATAATAAAATATTTTTAAAATATATAAAAAATAATTTGATCCCTTGAAATATCATAATTCCTCTGAAGTCTTTAGAAACTTTTCTATCATTAATGAATTTATATAAACTACTAAATTGCCCTTATTGAAAATAAATAACTCACAACTTTTCTTCTTATACTCACAACTTTTCTTTTCATATTCACAATGATACAACAACAAATAAAGAATTTAACATACAAAATTATGATTTGCTGTTGCAATGTTATGAATTTAAAAAGAAAAGTTACAAATATAAAAAAAAGTTGTAAATAATTTATTTTCAACAAGAGCAATTTGGTAATTTATATAAATTCATTAATGACAGAAAAGTTCTTAAAAATTTTAGGAAAATTATGAAATTTTAAGAGATCAAATTATCATTTATATATTTCAGAGAAATTTTATTGTCATTTTTCCTTAAAAATTAATAGAGGTTAAATATTAATAAATATTAAATTAATAATTTCACAATACATAATACTGTTTGAAAGATGTAAAATAAATTGTATAAGCAATAATAAATAAATATAACAATAAAAACATAAATAATTATATTTTTTTAATTCTCTGAGTATGAATGCCTATAACAATCAAAGCATAAATAATTATATATTTTTATTTCTCGTGCGATGAATTAGGATAAAATAATTAAATAAAAATAATACTAAATATATATAATATAATAAATAAGTTTACATTATATAAATATATAGTTGTTAATAAAATATCACAACATAACCATACGTAACATCTCAATTTAAATCTTAATAGTTAATTTGGGTTAATAGAAATTTTAAAAAAATAATATTTAGAGGTAAGCAAATTAGTAAGAGATGATTATTAAATCTAACTTAGGATATAATTTTAAATTAAAAAAATTAAAAAAATTAAAAAAATAATAAAAAAATAATAAAAATAAAAAATAAAAAATAAAAAAAAAAATATTATTAAATTATTATTATAATAAAAAAAGGAAAAGGTATTAAAAAAAAGGGGAAGAAGAAGAAGAACAAAATTTGCTTTCGGCCGCCGCACAACAATCATTATGTATATAATAATAATAAAAAAAAGGAGAGAGAGAACAGAAGAAATAATAAAAAAATGTGAGACCCACTGAATTTTTATAAAAAATCACCTATTCCTTCGTTTCTTCATTCATTCCTTCGTGCGCGAGCTAAGGCAGAGTGAGCGTGAGTCGCCGGTGTGGGAGATCTGAGTTTTTAAGGCAAGAATTTTTAATAGGATATTTAGGGTGTGATTTCAAGTTTTTCAAGACTAAGTAAGTGTTCTAAAATTTTTTCTTAGTCACTCTTCCTCTTTGGTTTCTAATTTTGTGGTGGTAAAAAATTTAGGATCTGGAAGAGGGATGAATTTATGTTGAATAAATATGGTTTATGAGGTTGTTAGTAGTATAATAAATGTTCTAGAGTATAAATTTGTTGATGATCTTTGAATTTGTGGCTTATGGATCAAATTCTAAACTAGATCTAAAATATATGTTGATTTATTGAGGTTTAGATGATTATTTGGGATGAGAAATGAATTATTATGGCTATAGAATTATGATTCTAAGCTAGAGACTCAATTTTTAATTTTTGGATATTTTAGGTGCGAATTTATAAAATAAAAAGAAAATTTTGATAATAGAAATTAGTTTAAAATTTGATTTTTAGATTATTAATGTTTATTGATAATTAAAAGAGGAGTTAAAAAATTTTACTTAATAGTATTAACTCTAGATTGTATTACTGGTGAAGATTATGGTGAGAGAGAAATTTTAAGGAATAATTTATTGAAAAAGCCACAAGGTAACCATGCTTTTAATTTATGATTAGTGTTACTTCATGTTAATTGGGTGATTATTGAGAAAATTATGAATTTTGTAATATTATATAATTGTGCAATATTATTATGAATTTGTTTGATTATTGTGGGAGGTGTTGGGAGACTTGCTATTGTTGTTGTATTTATGTGCCACGTGGTACGCCCCTATTGGAGCTTAATAGGTGGCTTGTAAGGGCTCGGGCTAATCTACCTTTGGCCGGGTAATTTAGCACCGAGTGAGGGTTACGGCTCGAGGTTAATGGAGGGATATAAGGATAGTTGTTTGTGTGTATTGTAATATTTCTTATATTTTGTTGGAATTATATTATTTTTAGTTCCTACTTAGTAAGCACACGCTTAACTGTTTGTACACACTATCATAAATTGGCTTTGGTTACTAGGACTTTTGAGTCTCATTATGTGGTTAACAATTTTCAGGAAAAGAGCCACGAGTGACACGTGGAGGAGTCCCAGAGGCTTAGTAGCATAAATTCACTGTCTCTTTTGGGTATTTGATTTATGATTTATAATGTGTTATATTGCCAATATTAGGGCTTTTTGTTTATTGACAATTATATGAATATATAAATGTAATCATGCCTTTCAAACTATTTCTATTTTTGGTACACTTTGGATGACTGTAATTTTAATATTTGTTTACTTTGGATTGGTTAAAATGGCATGATTATAAGGCCAAATAACTAGCTTGTGTTGAAAATTGACTAAATTATTTATTTTACTTGTTGGGAGTATAAGGATGGACAAATGTGATTTAGTTTACTTGTTGGGAGTATAAGGATGGACAAATGTGATTTAGCCTAATGGCATGTGGGAGGTAAAAATTTATCTGAAATGTTATATTGTGTGAGTTGAAGCCAATTATAAAATATTTTATATTAAAATTATTGATATAAAAATGTGTTGGGTGGTTGTAACCCAACTATAGTTGAGTTAAATTATTTTTTTTAAAAAAAATTGGTGTGTTACACCATAAATCAACCTTATAAATTATATTTTTATAACTTGTTAAATACAAGTAAATTTTGATTAACTTAGACATAGGTAGGTTTAAAAGTATTTGTATTGTACTTATTGGCCCTATTTGATATGTAGGTTTGATATGTAGGTCTCAAGTTAGAGGGATTGGGATTGTGATTGAAATTGGGATTGGGATTGGGATTGGGAGTGGGATTGGGATTGGGATTGAAAGTAAGAATGAGGTCTTAAAATCATATTTGATATGGAGTAATACTTCCTTTTATTTTATTTTATAATTAAATATAAATTATGAAAGACTATAATACCCCTTGAAATTAAAAAAAAATTGATTAGAAGCCCTTTGGAGAAGCCGCTGGTTCTAAAGCAATTTGAGATGTTCTTCGTGCACGTCCTTTTTTTGTTAATTCCTAAGCTTCTTGCTGTTCCCATTCATAGTGGATTTCTATTCTTTTTCATGTGCGACCAGTCTCTCGTCTCTCTCTCACAAGGACAAAGCTAGGTCCTCCTTTTACTTGCCTCATTGATGCTTCCATCATCGCCCAGCCACCAAGTCCAAGATGTATTGGAACTCGTTGCACTTCAAGGGCAAGTACATTGATTTCATCTGGCGGATTGAATCTCGCCAAGGTCACCACTAGTGGAGGGGAGGCTTGGTTCATTGATCATTCTCCTTCTTCTCTCATCTTCAATCTCCTTCTCCCTTCAGATCTAGTGGTGGCATTGGTGGAGCATGGCGTTGGTGTCGATGGACGGTTGTGTCAACGTTGGCGAATAAGAGGGGCATCGGCATCAGCATTGCTTGATCTGAAAGTGCATTGATTGAGTGAGGGCTAAAGGAGAGAGACGAGGGTGAGAGGTAAGGGTAATTTGGTTTGAAAATAATCAAACCTAGGATTAATTTTCCAATACCATGAAGGGTGGTGGTATTGGGTAATCCTACCTAGGTGAGATTGGGATTGAGATTAAATTTCTCACTCCCTCATACCAAATATAAAAAGGTGGGATTATTCAATCCCAATACCAGTCTCACACTCCCAACCCTTCCTATCAAATAGGGCCATAGTTGTCAAAAATTTTTCACAAAATACTTTCAAATAATATTATAAACTTGTGAAGGGTCCAAAAATAAAATTAACTTTAAAAAGGGTATAATTTTTTGGATTTTTTTTTGTATTTTATTTTTTTTTAAAATTTTTTATATTAGGATTAGACTCATCCAATTTCTTGAAAATCATTTTGATTTCATGCTCAAGTTTTGACCCAGCTCAATAACAACTCAAGTGTGGTCCAACCTAACTCAATTATAAAAATAGTTTTTTAATTCAAATCGAGTCATTACAAAATCCAATCAATGGCCATACAGGTCTGATTGTCTGATTCAGTTCTTAAAATATATATATATATATATATGCATACTCACTTAGGTCATATTTATAAATAAGACATATTTTTAAATTTTTATTACAATTTTTTTCTTTTATTTTTCATTAAACGTTAGTGAGACAAAATAGATTATCAAATATATATAATAGTGACAAAGTTAAAAGTTTATTCAATTTTTAGATAAAATTAATAAATTTTAGGATTTTTTAAATTTTGATAAAATATGTAATAATTTTTTTTATAAATAAAATTAGAGAAGTATATTATATATTTTTTTTGGCCAAAGAGAAGTATATCATATAGAAATAACAGGGAAATGTGTTCATATATTTTGATGATGATGAATTTGATGATTGGCGTTTTTTTCCCCTCAAAGAGTTGATGACTGATGTTGATCATTTAAAGGGGTTTTTATTGCAGTAAATGTTGAATTGTGAGTCCTTATTTGTGATTTCGTTTTTTATGATCATCTTATTTGCATTCACTCATTCACCCTATCACAAACTTGAAGAGACCTTGGCGACGCAGGTTAGGTCTTTCTGTTTGTCCTTTAGCTTAACATAACGAAAATGGTTTGCCAGTTGTAATTTTTCTTTTTGTTTTCTTTTTTATATTTTATTGTCTTTTGGTGGCGTATTAGAAGCGAGTGGTCCCCATCAACAGAATCCATGTACGTTCTCACAACCTCATCCACTGCCTACCACAGGCACAAATGGAGTTTTCGAGCTCCAAGCCTCCAACGCTTCACAAAGATTCCAGAAAATTAATTTTTACTTTCTAAAAAAATTAAATAAAATCCAAAGGTGAAAATAAATATGACGTAAATAATCAAAAATATAAGAACAACAACAATTAAGACCTCACTAACCCGTCCAAGTCCATCGCATAAGCATTTCACGAGCGAGCACCAAACTCTCCAAAGTCCAAAGCTTACCGCTTTCTCTTATTTCCACCGTCTGCTTCTGAAAGTATGTACGTCCTCTTGATTCGTCCAATTCACATAAGTTTAGTGTACAAACAACGTCTCAGCTTTCGCATCCCTGAAGATTTGTTTTTCTTGTTATTATCGTAGTATTTTCTCGTGGAAAGAAGAGGACTTTGAGTTGAATCGATGAAAAACTAAAATGGGTTTCTCATCGGATTCTTGTTTCTAGCCAATGGTGTTTCTCTTTGTTTCGTTTTTTTGGTGTTTTCTACTTGTTTATGGTATCTTTGAGGTTGTTTCTATGCAGATTTCTAATGACCAATAATTATGATGAAGAAGATTCTTTATCGAGTGAAAATCTATTTGGACTTCTGCCTGATCATTTGCTGATAGAAATTTTCATTAGAGTCCCCGTGAAAGAGTGGCCCCATATATCTTGTGTTAAAAAGCACTGGGCTAGTCTTTTTCGCAGTGAATGCTTGTGGCAAGCGGCTCTAGCTAGCATTTTCCTTCGGCAGATCAAGCTCGAAGATGGCCTGGGCCTATTCCTCGAGGTTTAAGCAGGAGGTAGCATTTTTCTACCAAGAAAATTGTTTTCAACATCCGTAGAGCAATTATTATAACCTCATCGAAGTTCTGGAATGATTTAGCCTTCAAAAGTTACTTCGATTTTATGAAGATTGAGTTACCCGATTCCTGTTTGACAAAATGTTTCGGTGAACCTGACTTCCACAAGTATATATATGATGCCTCAATTGCGTTTGCCCAGAACAACAACCTAGACCGTTGTCTATGCATCTGTCCAAGCTATCATTGTTCTACAATAATCATATCAGAATACGTAAAAATCAGCTCTTATTTATTGCAATTACTCACCCGAAATGGGTGTTTTTCTGTAATGTCTTCTGTCAGAATCAAATACTCATTTATATCCCAAAAAATAATCATTTATATGTAATCTAAGCTTCACAGTTCTATGCATTTAGGACATGCAAAGTATGTGTTTCTGACATTGTCTTCAAATGGTTTCAGGAGATTCATGGCCTTCTATATAAGTAAACAAATATTTGCTGTGGACGGTGAGGTAGACGAGATTGTTGGCCATACTTATCTGTTTTTGAAAGAGCAGCTTCAACTTTCAATTATGCCACCTCATAGCGGAATACTTCATGGAACCGTTATTGGTGTGGCCCCTCTGCTTTTCTTTTTATTTTATTTAGTGTGGGATTCACGGCCAGTGCATCGTTGCGATGCATTTAAAATAAGCACTAACATAACCAAGAAGAATTCAGAATGTGGATTAGATTTTTCTGTCTTTATTATGTTTTTCAACTACACTGTTTTCTGATCTTGCCTGCTTCTTTGTTGTTAATTTATCTGTGCCTGCTTCTTATGATGGACCAGATCTTGCATATATATGTATAACACTCTAGTCAAATTAAATGTACACTGTAATAACCTTGATTTGTTTCCGAAACTGACTTAAACCGACCGGGTGTCAACAAACCTTAATGAAATTTAGCTGAAATTTGTTGTACCTTGTGTAGTTGTTGGTAAGAATCACTGTGTTTTATTAGCAGATCAGTTCATTGCTTGTGGGAAATCAAGAGACTTAGCCCATGAGCTTGCTTCACTAATATGGCTTGCAGTTCTAGACAATTTGGAGGAAAATGAGCGCACATTTACCTTACTTAAACGTCTAGCTCAAGAGGGGGATGTAAGTGCTTCTCTTACTTCAAATTTTTCTTCAAGATTCTTCCCTTTTTTCCTTGCTAGCTTTATCATCTGGAAGCTACGCCTTATCTGGATGAGGTGCCTAGTTTAAGACAATTATTCTTTTGTTAAGTGTTGCTTTGATTATAATGTCAAAAAAAAAAAAAGTTACTACTCCTCTAGTCCTTAATATAAAGCAAATTTAACCAACTTCGTATTTACTGAAAAATGATGGTTATATTCTTAAAACTGTTAAAAAGTAGGTAACTATCCAATTTTTCCTTTCTTTGCAATTAATGGCTTTAATAAATTGTTATCTAGGAATTCAAATGATAATAAATAAAGAAGGGCTAAAATTTAAAAAATTATTAATTGTTCTAACTTATCCTGATATTAAGGATACAAAAATGCTTTCAAAGTTCGTTTTATACTAAGAACTGGGTGGAGTATATTCGTTTTACTGCCAAAAAAAGAATAAACCATTCTGATTCGCCGATTTTACTATTTACCGTTGTAAAGTGATGAGAGAAAGGGTGAAACATAAATCTAGTGTTAGCCCTGCACAGAACCATCCTTATCCATGAGAGAATCTAATCCTGATAAGAATAGCAGATATGTTGATCTTGCAGAAGATTCTTCCTAGAGTACGCCAATATGACCAATCATTTTATTCCTCATGGAGCATCTGAATATCTGGTTTTTTTTATTTAATTTTTTGGGGTTATTTTCGGCAGGTTTTTCTGCCATACCCGTACACCAGATCAGTGAAAGTCCAATGGAGGGTGTTTGAGAAGCTCTTCACAGATTTCCGTGATTGCCTCAACCATGTAGATTACTATGATACTTTAGCATGTGCTAAGAGCAGGTTTCAGCCAATACCATCTGCTTGGTTGGGATTCTAAAGATGGCTAATCATTGCTCCTTTCATGTTCATTCTTTTATGTGCTTTCTCATGAGACGTGATCTGGATTAATCACCTTTTAAGTTCGAACCATTAAAGTGAAATTTGCAAAGTTTATTCGTCACCTTGAGCGAGCAGCACTGAGTGAAGCCATTAGAGAAGCTCAACTCAGCTGTGGCAATTACAAGATCATCCTTCAACCATTAAATGTAGTAATCTTATTGCAATATCATGGTGAAGATAAGATGTCTTGTGCTATTTATAGCTTTATTTCATTTGTGAAAGTGTAATTTATATCTTCAATTTTTCTGTGAGATTTGATTGTTATAAACTATTCTATTATATGCCACTGGAAGTGGATTGATTTCAGATTTTCTCTCTTCTTTCCAATTGCACAATGTTCTGGTTTACTTTAGACTAAAATTTATTTTTTTAAAAAATTAAATACCTTCTCTCCATTATGATTTATGATCTATTTGCAGGTGTGTCCTCTTAAACTACAAAAATTAAATACCTTCTTCAAGTATGACTCGTGCAAGTGTCTCATCTTGATTTGTATTCAATTAAAAAAAAAAAAAACTGTCTAAACTAAATGGGCCTATTGTCCAAATTGTAAGGTGTTTTTCCTTAACTAACCTTGATCCAAAATATAGATACTAAGTATTTTTAGAATTTTTTTTTTTCATTTTACCCTTTCATCTCTTAACCTAGTTTCTTGGATAGCATGTAAATTTATCACATTCTTCTCACTCTATTAGTAAGTTTTATATCACTTTGACTTTCACACATAACATCACTCGTTAAAAAATTATTGATATAAATACTGAAGAGAAAAAAAACTATACATATAACTAATTTATCAAAGACAAGATCATTGTGTTGGAGTGTCTGGCCAATACCACCATGCATCCATCCGTAGGTACTTTTACAAATTTTGACAATATTATGTTGCATTTTCTTTTTGTCAATGTTTTTTGTTAAGAAGAAATAAAAATGATTTTATTTGTTAGTTATCATAGGTATTTTATTCATGCATTCGTTTCCTTTTAACATTTATATTACATTTTTTAATTCACCTTTATTTGGAGTTGATCTGCTAATTGTGTGTGTATATGCATAAAAGAATGTATAAATAAATAAGGAAAAATCACATCAAAGGACATGTGAAAAAAGATTTTGCAAATAAAGACTGAGAACGAGGCACAATTCAATAAAAAAAAGTTAATATTATCATTTTAACAGTGATATATTTTTTATTGATTCTTCTTTGCAATAACTTTTTTCACAAATCTTTGAATGCAATTTTTCCAATAAATATCCATGATTTACCATAATCTTAAAATTTAGAAATTGGTATATTTTACATATTACATGCTTGATTATATGTACTAAATGAAGAATATTTGAATTCAAATTTTTTATTCATCGTTATATATAAATATAATCAATATAAAACGGTTAAGTATTTTTTTACTAAACTATTTCCTGAAAAACATCTAGTGTCATAAACTATTTATTGTAATAATTTTGCTGTTAAAACATTTGATATTTAATATCAAGAATAAATATACTATGTCATATTTATTTCAGAGGTGAAATTATTACCAAAAATAGTTTAGGATGTATTGTGTTTGTTGAAAAATAGTTCAAGAGTAAAAATGTACTTTAATTCAATTTAAGATGTATAATATACATTTTTTTTGAAAGAAAGTCAGAATTTATTAATTAAAACCATAAAAGGATACAAGTTAAAAACATATGACCTAATTAAATCTAGTACAAGACCAAAAAAATGAAGGCCCAAACAAATGCAAGCAGACGCAAAAATAAAAAATCCAAGCCATAATTATTGACATTGGACCATGAGAGGATGGAAAGAAGCTGAGATAAACATCTTGAAGGACACCATGCCACGCACGAGAAATTGTTGCATAACGCCATCTTTGGAAGAAGGTACATATTGAAGAAGCAACAAGGACTATAATCCCATTGCTGAAAAAGTAGCCGATGGATGAAAAGTCTGGTAGAAGCAATGGGGACCAGGAAAAATAAAGGTGGTGGGAAGGAGAGGAGATGAATGAATCAAGAAAAGAGAGACAAGTTCTCCTTGTCTAACAATCACCAAGGTGCAAGGAAACATATTGAATCTTGTTGACAGTGAAAGTTTGAATTAGATAGCTAAATTATATTATTTAAAGTAAAGGTACATTTTTATTTTTAAAGTATTTTTTAAGGAGCAATACCTAAAATTATTAAGATTTTAATGTTGACCATTAAGAAATTTAATGATAAGAAAATAATGTATTTTTAATTACTTTAAGAACAAACTTACTTCAACTAATAGTTGAGGAGGTTGGGTACTCTTTGAAAAATATTTTAAGGATAAAAATACATATTTATTTTATTATTTATAAGTCATGAATAATATAACTTCTTTTTTAAATTTTATGTAATCCATAAGTCATGCCTGATTTAAAAATGAAGGAGTGGATGTAAAATTTTTAACTCATTGATATTAATTTGTTGCATTAATGAATTTTGAGTTGGCAATGGTTGATGGTGCATTGCATTTAAAATTTAGATTTAGTAAATATTATATTTAGATGTAGACCCTCCTACAACATTCCGTTGTAGTCTAGTTGGTTAGGATACTCGGCTCTCACCCGAGAGACCCGGGTTCGATTCCCGGCAACGGAATAAAATATTTTTCGCCTTCCTGCTAAACGCTTGGACCTTACGGTCATTATGAGTTTGATAGAGGTCAAAGACATAATTTCATTCACATGCACCGGAATCAAAAATCACTTTTTCGCGGCTTTCTTAATGCCTCACTGACAATATTCTCTGTAGGATAACACAGTCTCCTACCGTGACACCCTCTCTTTCTAGGCTTTCGCGCTCCTATTACGGGAAAAATCCAACGCGATGAGGCAACGTTTTTTTAATTCACCTTTCAGTTTTACAATGCCCGTTTTTAATTTCAAATTCAATACTCAACAGAAGCAATTAGCGAGCTTAAGGGCTCTCATTTATTGCATTTTCTTCTCTCTTCCTCTTCACACTTCTTCACTGAGCTCTCTCTCTTAATCTAGGGTTTCTCTTGCCAATTCTGCATTCTCAAGCTCCTGTTGTGTTGAGATTTCGCATTTCACATTGCCTCCAGCGCCATTCGTCTTATGTGGCATTTCGTTTCTGCATGTACTTTTGGACCATTTATTATCTTTTCTTTTTCTTTTTGCTTTTTGCTTCGTGTATTTATTCCCCTGTCGTTTCCTCTTTGAGATGGTGAAAATGTTGACAAGTTCGTGAAGAGTGTATCGAAGCAGGCATCGCAGTATGTGATGCTTCTTGCTTCTTTTCAAGAGGATCAATCTTTCTGGTTGCTTCCTGTTTCATGCTGCTAAAGGAACTTGATTTAATCAAGTCAATGTAGGATGAATCTGCAAGAGGTCATCGGTAGTTTGCAGTATAATAAACGTTATACCCATTTTTGCAACGGTATATCTTCATCTTCTGATTCTCAGCATGATTCAAGATGCAATTTCGGGAATATTCTTGAAAGTCCAATCCTTTAATCACCGCACTTCAGGGATTTGAAAAGTAGATTGTGTGCTTGTGTGTGTGTGTGTGTGTCCCCTCCCCCCCCCCCCCCCCAAAAAAATATAAAAAAACGAACAATTATATATAGAAGGAATGTCATTTTCCCAACAATTTTTGCTTGTTGGTGTAATAGATTAGTAATTTCTTTTATTGGTGGAATTAAACATCCGAAAGTTTCTTATCAGATTTTTGACATGACAACTTAAATGAGTTAAACTCTTGGGCTCCTTCTGGCTTTGTTGTTAAACATCTTGTTCAAGATACACACACATTTTCCACGGCAGATGCAGAATTTGTGTCAAAATGGGGCATTTGGTGTACATAATAATTTTAGTCTATTTATTTACCCATTCGATTTTGACGTCATTGCAGGTTTTGATCTAAAAGAAAGGCCCGCACTTGTAAGGTTGGTTTAGAGAAAAAAACTGTTTTTAGAAGAAAAGGTTGGTAAAGCATGGATTTTTTCAAAGTCAAGAAGACAAAGAAAGCTCAGAAAGCAAATGGAGAAAAGGATGTGGCGGACAAGCCAGTGTCAGAACCTGATGAACCAAAGCCTGACGATGGTGGTAATGATCAAGGTAAATCAGCAAATGCAGATCTTGTTGCTGAAGCAGAGGATGATGACGATGATTTCATTACAAATGAGGTAAAGAGGAGGCTGAAAGAACTTAGAAGAAACAGTTTCATGGTTTTGATTCCTGAGGAAGAACCGTGTCTAGAGGAAGAGGAGGATGAGGAAGAGGAAGGAGAATCAAGCTCTACCGAATGGAGGGATTTAGAAGCAGAAGGTCAGCGATGGTGGCGAGGTTTTGATGCTGTGTTCGAAAAATACTGTGAAAGAATGCTGTTTTTTGATCGGATGAGCACACTACAGCTTAATGAAGTTGGCAACGGTATATTGTGACCTATTATTCTTATTTTCGCATAAGCATTTTCAAATACTACCTAATGTTTGGGAAGATCTACTTTGATTTGGGTTTGATTAGTCTTGGGCTGTCTTTTCTGTGTCATACAAGTTATCATGCATGAGGCCATGCTCAAATTTCATGTAATGAAAAGTTGTTCCATGTCTTGCCATTCTTGAAGCAGGAAGGTAGAATTATTTCTGATTGCTAGTTAGCTGTAAAGCTTATTATTTGGAGACAGTAACTCGGATACTTCTGTTTTCGTGTTAACTGTATACACTTTGTGGTGCCTCTGTATCACTATTACAGGTTCCCATTACCTTTCTACTCCATCACCAAGATCTGCATCAAAGAAGCTGCACTCACCCCTTCGATGTCTTTCCTTGAAGAAATTTGAAGAAGCTGATGATGATACTGAGCATCTTCAAAAGCCTGAAAATGATCCCTGCATGGATATTGAAACAGCATATGTTGGTCAGATTTGCTTGACTTGGGAATCACTTCATTGTCAATACACTCAATTGAGCCAGAAGATATCTTGGCAACCTGAAAATCCTTCATGTTACAACCACAGTGCTCAGGAGTTTCAACAGTTCCAGGTTCTATTACAAAGGTTTATTGAGAATGAACCATTTGAACAGGGTCTGAGAGCAGAAATCTATGCTCGAATGAGGAAGAGTTTGCCTAAATTGCTTCAGGTTCCTAATGCACAAGGTGAGTTTCCCTTGAATCATTTGCATTCAATTTTAGTGCTATGGATATAGCTGCATTTATAAATATTTCTAGGAAAAGTTAGTTTCATTGTTTTGCTTCTAAATGTTCAAGACGAGTCTGTCTCTGATGTTTGTGTCCAAGTACTCAATTCTTTGAATCAATGTGTTCAGGTTCTGATCAACAGTCAGCAGAAGAAGATTCAGACATGAGAGTTCTTGCTCCTGATCTTGTCAGGATAATTGAACACTCTATCCTTACATTCTACGTGTTCCTGAAAAGAGACAAGAAAAAGCCAACTGGTGTTATCAGCCTGTTTGGAAATCAGAACCAGCTTGCAACTCCTCTGCAACTAGTCCAATCTAATCTTGAAAAGGTAAAATCAGATGCTTTACCTCCAAATCCAAGTTTGCATTATATGAACATGAATTAGGTATAGTTTTTAGGTGTACGTGATCATATTCCCCCAGGAAAACATGACAAATTATGTCTTCTACTTCTCAACACTCATGATTCAATATTTAAAAAACCAATCCTCTGCATATCATATTTTTATCGGAAAATCTAATTGTAAACACCTGACCTCTAAAGAACTATACCCAAGTTTTGTTATTTGATTAACCTTTGAAGCATTTAAAGTATAATATGAGCTTTGCCATCTGTCCATTCAATTGCAATATTTGTTATAGGCAGTTATTTTTTTTTTTCAAGTGCTTGAATATGGCATTGTGTTCTTAGCTCATTACATCATATCATCCATTAATTCCATGCAAGTGTAACTATTTTCACTTCTGAAGTCTGGTTCAAAATGTGTACTCAGGAATCTGATCATGGATGATCAATTATGTGACTAAGGAAATATGCCTAGTGTTAATTTTTCTTCTAAATGCAGAAAGCAGTGAAGCTGAAAGAACTGACCAGAAAGAAGAGTTGGAAAAAGAATTCTTGGCCACAAAAGCCTGAGGACATACAATTATTTCTAGGCCTTATTGACGTCAAAATCATATCAAGGGTTCTCAGAATGACAAGGATAACTAAAGAACAGTTGATTTGGTGCGAAGAAAAGATTAAAAAACTAGACTTGTCAAATAGTAGGCTAGAAAGAGACCCCAGTCCTATCCTCTTCCCTTGCTAATATTATCATCACTTGTAATTTGTAAGATAAACAGCTGCTTTGAAGCATCATGTCTAGTTACTTTTTTATGCTGCACAATTGCAAATTGCCTAATTTTAGGGACTAGACAGGCAAATTTGGAGTTGTGCGAACGGATAACAATGAAAAAATGTTGAAGGACTTTCTGTTTTATCCTATGTGAAATCCACAAACATGTCAAAAAATTGCTTCAGAGGGTTCTTTCCTAGGTTGTTTTGTTCAACCCTTGGTGATACATAGCTTTTTCTTTTTGAATCTATTGTGTTATGGTATTTTAAATACTTGCCTCAGTTTAAAAAATCCATTGTATTTTATACTCTCCTTGGCTGGCAAGTTGTTTTAGCAATTAACATAATCAAACTAATCAAGTATTTGCCTCATTGCACTTTGTATATTTTAAAAAAAATTAAAAGAAGTTTTGAATTGGAATTTCAAAAGTGTGCCTCTAGTTTTCAATTTAAAGTTGGATCCGAGTTGCACAAATATAATTAAAAAGTAAATATGGTTGTATGAAATAATAACTGTAGAGTTTAGCTCTACAGTTATTATTTAGAAGTTAAGAGTAGTTGTATTATTATATTATTTACATTATTTTCAAGCACTTTATCTTGTTTCGAAACTACGCTTGAAGCGCAAATATTTTTCCCTAAACAGACCCTCAAGAGGTAGGATTGCGGCAATTAAATACAATATCATGGCATTTTTTTTTATTTTTCTAATTTGATTCAATGGAAACAATGCTTTAGATGATTGATGACTCTTTTGTGTCAAAGAAAAATAGCAATACTCGTGAATCACACGAGTTATGAATAGTGTGACTTTTATAATTTTTTATATTCACATTGGCATTGATGTATTCGTGATATTTTTTATCCATTTAAGCATCTAAAACAAGAGCATCAACTAACTGCTTGAAATATAAATAACTCCAAAAAAGAAATAGGATCTCTAAATTTGGTACAAGTTTTAAAACTTGTCATCTTTCATTTCTACGTTAAATTTGTTCTTTTTTTTTTTTTTCCTTTTTTCCTTTTTTAATGGAACACCATTATGCTAAAGTGGATACTTTTGGGAAAAAGCAAATTCAAACCAACCTTGAACAGTAATAGGAAAAGTAAGAACTGCTCTGTGTCAACATTAACATCTGCGCTCAATAAGATTAACAACAAGAACTTGATAGGGAGGGAAAAAAAAAAAAGAAAGAAACTAAATAGCAACATGATTAGAAAACCGTGTTTCACCTCTTATTGATTTTATTAATCTCCTGCTAGTATTTTTTTTTTTTTTACAGAAAAGGAAACTCCAAGCTCTTCTTTGTTTCGCAGAAATTAAAAAGGTTTCCACCTTAAACTTCTGTAAGTTTTCCCTCCACGGCGTTCATATACAAAATCAAGCTGAGGGATGGTCTTCCAAAGTATGTGATCTGCATGTTTGGAGTATTGCAACCTCCATTGTTGACAAAAAATAAGGGGAAGGATAATGATGCCAAGGCCAAAAGTAAATCCCAATTCAGCACTCAAAAAATTCCAATCAATGGAAATCCCATGATTTGAATCAGATTCTTTAGATGATGATGTTGAAGAACTTGGAACCTCACCCAAGCTGCAATTCTGTGTCAATGGAGGTCCACATAAGGCTTTATTGCCTTTGAAGGAATCTGCTTCAAATGACTGAATTTGAGTACCTGTTGGGATTTGGCCAATCAAATGATTGTAAGAGACATTCAAAAATTCAAGGAAACATAGACTTGCAAGCTCTGTTGGTATGTTCCCCCTAAAGGAGTTCATTGACAAGTCCAATGATTCAAGATACTTCAAATTCCCAATAGATGAAGGGATATGACCTGAAAAAGAATTTTGTGACAAGTTAAGAGCATGAAGTGCTTTGAAATTCATAAGCTCTTTTGGTATTGGCCCTTCAAAATGGTTGGATGAGAAATCCAAAGAAGTGAAGGCGGTAAGAATCTTAATCAACTTCAATTGTCTTCCTTTGATGACAATTGTCACTGAATCAAGGTAACTTCGACGGCCAAAATCAGTGGCATCAATATCAGAGAACAAGTGGCTGATCACAAAAGGTGGCTCCACTGCTATAAGTCTAGCTAGTTTTGGTGCAAGATCTTTGTTCACAGTTGATAGTGCATTCTTGAAGTCCACATGATTAACATTGTCGTAAATGTCAAAAGACAATTGGCCAAATTCTGAACCACTTTCATCTTCATCAGGTATCGTCAGTGCTTTCCAACTTTGCAGGAGTGCTATAGGTAGAGAACCACTAAAATTATTTGAGGCTAGGTCAACAATTTGAAGTGTCTCCCACTTTCCAATGCTATTAGGACAATCAAGAGTCCCAAAAAATTTGTTAGACCTTAGAATCATGACTCTCAAGGTGGATAAGTTCCCTAAGAAACATGGATATCTATCAGTCAATTGATTGTTTCCAAGGTTTAAGACTTGTAGTTTTTGGCAATTAGCCAAAGAGTTTGGGATTGTACCACCTAAGAGGTTTTCATTGAGATCAAGGAATCTAAGGGCACAAAAAGTTGAAAATGTATTAGAAATTTGGCCTTTGAGGTTGTTTCCAGCTAAATTTAACACCCTAAGAGTGTTACTCATTTTTGTCAAACAAACAGGAATGGTGTCACTGAAGTTGTTTTCAGAAAGATCAAGCACACGAAGAGCCGACATATTACAAAGGGATTCATGGATTTTTCCATGAAAACTATTGTTTGATAGAGAGAGAAAATATGTGAAAGGGAGACGATTGCCAATGTCTGGTGGGGCAATAGAGCTAAATCTATTGCTTGAGTAATCCAAATAGATCACATTTTTTGGAAAAATGGGAGGGTGGCCTTTGAGTTGGTTGGAATGAAGATCAAGAAGAAACACATTAGAACTGATATTCTGAAAAGGTCCTTCAAAATCTGTAAGAAAATTATTGGAAAGATTAAGAAAAACCATGAAATCAAACCTCCAAATCCAATTGGGGATTGTTTCTTGAATTTGGTTGCTGGATAAGTCAAGGTATAGTAAATTGGATTGATTTCTGAGAAAACTTGGAAACTCTTTCAACTTGCAAGAAGCCAACATGAAATTGTTCAATTTGGGGAACGATGACAGATTGTGGTTGTTCACCAAAGTTGTATCAACCAACAAATTGTTGTGAGCAAGATCTAGCGTAGCCAAATTTTCCATGCTTCTCATCATATCCAAATGTATAGTTCCATTGAACTTGTTTGAAGAAAGTTGGAGCAAAGTGAGTCTTTTGAGATGAAAGATTGACACAGGAACAGGCCCTTGCAAATTATTCCCACTGATATCAAGGATCTCTAATGGGGATGAAGAAGCATTTGGAAATTCATCCAAAAGACCCTCAAATCTGTTGTTAGAGAGAATCAGTTCATGCAAAGATGGAAGTGTGAAAAGAGATGATGGAACTCTTCCATTGAGTAAATTACCGCCTAAATCAATGGTGACCAAATTTTCAAGGCCCGTGAAATGAACAGATGAAACTTCACCCCTCAAGTCATTGTGATAGAGGGATAGATATGTGAGGCTCTTGGACATATTGAAAGATGGAAGGGAGCCAGTGAAATTGTTGAATGACAAGTCTAGATAAGCAAGTGAGGTCAATTTGGAGATTGAACAAGGAAGTGTTCCATTGAATTTGGTGTTTGATATGGCTAATGCAGACAGCTTCCTCAAATTTTGAATAGAACCTGGTAGCTGCCCGGAGAACTTTGTGTGGCTAAGGTTCAAGCTTTGGAGAAATTCGTGATGTTGGAAGTTTGGTAATGAACCCTGAAGATCCCGATTATCTGACACATCAAGGACCTGCAAGTTTGGCATTTGGAAGATCTGCTTTGGAAAATCTCCACTCAAGTTGCAATTTCTAAGTTGCAAGGTAGTTAAGTTGGTCAAGCCCACAAAGGCCTTGGGCACAGAGCTTGCCATATTGTTGTTGCTCAGCTGAAGTACTGAGAGAGACTGAAGCTTTGCAAGTGAAGAATCAATAGGGCCAAAGAGATTACAAGAAGACATACTCAAAATTTGAAGATTTTGCAATGCAGATACTGCTTGGCTCCACTCCTTCCCTGTAGCAAAGATCTTTATGCCATCAAGATATAGCGCTTTGATTTCTGTGAAATTCTTTAACAGCATTGTGACATTTGGCTCCTCAAGTTTCAGAGTTTGAAGTGAGGTAGACAAATCAAGAGAAATGAGCTTTGTTAGATAAGAAATCTCAATTGGAATCTGACCCTTAAAGCCAGCATTTGACAAATTCAGATACCTCAAGTTTTTCAACTTTTGAAACTCTGAAGGAAATACAGAATGAAACTCATTATAAGCCAAGTTCAGATTTTGCAGAAATTGCAGGTTGAAGAGGCTGCTTGAACTGTCAAGTTCACCAGAGATGGATTCTTCACGTAGATCAAGAGCTATAACTTGTCCCTTATCACATGTCACTCCATTCCATTGACAACAGTCATGACTTTGGTTCCAGTGAACCAATTTTTTCGACCGGGAAGGGTTGAATATGAGGTTGCTTCTCAGACGAAGCAAAGCAGATTTTTGATGGCTAAGACAATGGCTAGAGTACACAACAAAGACATTGATGCTCAGGTTTATGAAGCAGAAGGGTATCAAGAAAAGCCATAAGATTAGGATAGACCTCATTGCATATAATTAAATATAATAAGAGACACCTCTACAAGTGATGAAAGTAAGGAACATGAAGATGGGATTTTGCCTTTATGGACGAAGTCCTTTTATACATAGTAAATGGCTTTAGATTTGACTGAATCTAAGGCTTCTGTTGATGTGTAGGTTACTTTCCAAGTCAAAACCTTGTGGTCTTTTTCTTAATACTATTAAGACCTTATGGTTTTCATCATTTTGGAATTTCATAACGGATGTAAGAAAAACTGAAAAACCTTGAATTTTACGAGAGGACTGAAGATCGTTCATGCTCTAAAACTCAGAATTTGAACATGGAAAATTGGGACTAGAAGATAATGCAAAAGAACCAAAGATTACACGTCTATGAAGTGAGACACACGCTTTGAACAAGAAAAAGAAAAAACCCTTGTGTGTGTGTGTGTGTGTGAACCTTATGTGAAGTTGCGCTGGTATTTGACAAGCTCATGAGCTCAGCCAATGATGACCGTGTTCGGTATATGCTTCGAATGTTCAATTCTAAATTTTGAATTGAAAATAAAGGTACATAATTTTACTATAATATATTAATATATCAATATTCTTATTGTAAGTCCACTGCTAACTACTGTTATAGGATGACTTAAGTTGGTTGCTATCTCAAATATTGGATTTAAAATCATGTTGAGAGAGTTATATATATATATATATGGACAAAATAATACTTAGATCTAGATTATAATGTGGAAACAATGATTAATGTACCAAATAAATTCTAAACTTGTATTCTTTTACAATAATATGTGACTAGAATTTGTCCCATGCGATGCATGGGAAAGATTTCATTTTACATGATATAAACATCATAATTTTGGAAACATTAATGCATTGTAAATAAGTATAATGACTGTTTTAATTTGTTAAGTAGAATCTTCAACCCATGTTATTTTTCTATTTATTTAGTATTAGTTACTTATTACATATTATGTTATTATTTTAGGATGATTATAACATCTGCAAATGCAATTACATAATAACTTTGTAGATTCTAATATGATATAAGAGAATACATAGACTAAAGAAATAGGTCTCTCTTTTAATAAATGGAAAAAGCTCTAGCTAAAAGTTTTCAATTTTGAAAAAATAAAATGGAACAATATAAATTTCAACAAGTAATTTGGAATATTAAAAATTTTTAGATGTTCAAGAAAATAGAGTTTATATCTTATTAATGTGAGTTCTGACACTATCGCATTTGGTTGATTGCCTCTGATCTCACATGCTCCAAACCATTATCATATAAGATTTTATAAAATGGAAAAACCATAAAAAAAAAAAAAACCAGAGAAAGAGTTACCCAAATGATGTCATTTAGATAATAAAAGATGTTAGATCACATATAACGCTATGAAGGCATTAATCTTTTACTTAGTTTGAGAAAAATAGGAGGAAGGAAGGAGAGATTTTATGTTTGATTTTAAAAATCTATACAGATAAGATTATAACATTTTAATAGGAAAAAATGTAAGAGGAAAAAAAAAAGAAAAATCAACAAAAAAGTTTCAACCATATTTTTTCATTTTTTTTAAAAGCAAACTCATCAAAATAAAAACAATATAGTAAAAAAAAAAAAAAAAGATAACACCCTCGCCATCCTCTTTGATTTGTTAACTTCTTGCATATTTAATTTTAACCATATGTGCAAAAGCTAATTTTTTACTGTACATGTACAGTAATAATGATAACGCTTTATTATGGTATTAAATATCAGTTTGACAGATAAATAGGTTATATTTCACAGAAAAAGGTTATATATTTAAAGGGACACGCGTCTTGTCTTGTTCTAATATTTACCCAGGGAAAAATTCTTAAAAAAAAAATAATAAAATTCTTTTAAATTATATAAATAATAATTCAATCATTGAAAATGTTATAATTTTAATAAAGTTTTTAAAGATCTCTGTATTAATAAATTTTAAAATAAAAAAATTATTTTATTCTTATTAAAAAATAACAAGCTCCAATCATAATTTTTGTTTGATAAATCATAACTTTTATTCTGTAAATTGTAAGAATTAAATAAAAAATAATAACATGTTAAGTGTAATTTTTTTATTAAAAAATAATTTTCAATCATAACTTTTGTTTAATAAATAACAACTTTTATTTTGTGAATTGTAAGAGTTGAACAAGAAATTATAAATTGTCACATGTAACTTCTATTATTAAAATGTAAGTTCTCAAAATAAAAAAACTTATTTATAATTTTTATTTAAAGAATTACAATTTACATTTACAGAATTGCAAGAATTGAACAAAAAATCACGATTTATCAATAAGAGTAAAACAATATTTGTAATTTAAAATTTATGACAAAAAAATCTCTAAAAATTTCAATAGAATTATAATATTTTAAAAAATTAAATTATTATTTATATAATTTAAAAAAATTTTATTATTATCCTCTCAAAATTCTTCTTGCCATATACAATTATAAGCCTCCTTGAAAGTCAAATATTGTTCAGTTAAAGTCTCACAAAGCGATGACCGAAAAATAGGAAGGGGAAAAAAAAAAAAAAAGGTCCCACAAAGCGCTTCGAAATTACATCATGAACGACACAATCAAAATTGTTTTGTTAACAAATTACGACTATTCTAATTTTTGTTGAATTTTGATTCTTTTTTTCCAAGGAACTTGAATTTTGATTCCAACGAAATTGAATTTGTCTGCTTTCTTCTGTTTCGAAATGACTTTGAATGTTGATCTTTCAAATTTCTTAAACATCATTCAGATGATTTTTTTTTTCTTCATACCATACTTTTAGTTCAACGTTTATGTTTGAAAATAACGTTAATTGAACATTATTTGATCATTTTATAAAGAAACAGGGAAAATAAATTTTAAGCCAAAAAAGTATGTCATAACCTAATATCATTTACTCTCTGTGATCCTATTTATAAATAACTTTTATTATATTTCAACAAAATTAAGAAAAATTTTATATCTCATTAACTATGTTTTAAAAATTAATAAGTTTTTACCTTTATCTTCTAATAAGGACAAAGCATTTAATAAGAATAAAAAGTAAAGATAAATATCAAAAATTGTGAAGTATACTATAAATAGAGGATAAGGCCGATTAGCTAAAAAAACATCTTGTGTATAAAAGATATGAACCAAATTTTTGAAAATTTGAAAGTATATATGGCCAATCTACATTAATATATAAAGGATTTATCGATGATATATAAGAAGTTTATCATTACAAATTTAAAAATTTACAAGAGTTTATTATTAATATATAATGATATATCATTGACAAATATAATAAATGGGCCATGATACAAAATATAATACTCCTTCTGTTAAAAAATATTAGGTATTTTTAATTAAATTTTACCCTCGAATAAATAGTTACTTATCTTTAAACTAATCATATCTTTTTATATTTATCCCAATTTAATAAATTATTTTACCTTAAAAATATAAAGTAATATATTCAATAATGGCACTTTTTTTTTAAAAAATGTAATAATTATATTTTAAAAGACTCAAAATGCCTTATAGTTTTTAACATCCAACCTTTTAAAAAATATTTTTACATTTTTTAATGGGGAGAGTAAATGTTGGATTGTTTACTTAGGTTGGTCTTATAATATGAGTTATATATGCAAAAGTTTCTAAATAAAATTAATGCTAAAGTATACTTTTAGTCATTTAACTTTATATAAAGTTTTAATTTAATTATTTAATTTTATAAAGTATTTTTTTAATCTTTTAACCTTATTATCATTAATTTTAAATGATTATTTTTTTATGTCAATTATCATTATTGTGAAAAAAGTTAAATTTAATATATCAATATTTTAAAATATTTGGTCAATATTTGAAAGTTCAATATAAAAATTTGTTGGGATAAAACTAACATTATTAGAATTAAAGAATTAAAAAGACACTTTGTAAAGTTAAAAAATTAAAAATAAAATATTGTATAAAATTAAAAGATTAAATGTATATTTTAATCAAAAATTAAAATTCATCTTCTTTTTATACTTTATAAATAAAACTAGAGAAGTAGTATCATTGTTAGAGGCTCATGCAGTTAAAAGGAACAACCATATAGTCAAGAAATTCCGTGTGAGAATCAATGCTTGATAAATATATACCAAAAATTCCTACGAGAATTAACATTCCACAAAACTGATAATTAATTAATTAAAACGAACACACACACACACAAACTTACGGAAAAAAAAAATCAACATTATAATTTTAGCCTTTAAATTTGCCTCAGTTGTTGATATAATTCTTATATATTTTTTAAATTATCATATTAATCCTTTAAATTTTTCAAACACAAATTGACTTTTAAATAAATCTAATGTGCAAAAGCATGTTAATGACTTTATATATATATCTATGTAACTAAATAAGAATAGATTAACTTTCAAATTAGTTTACTTTTTATCTATATACTCACTCAATTTTAAAATATAAGCATTTTGTTTCAGGAAATCTTGTTCCAAAATATAAATATTTTTATATAAATAATTACACTTTTTTTTTACTAATTTGCATGATTCCCATTAATATTTTGTTGTTCATGTTGACAAATTTTAATAGTATTATTTTCTTTTTAAATAATAAGAATCAAATTAATAAATGAGACAAATTTAAAAAACTAAATCGATAAAATTAAACTTGAGAGATTCAATTAATAATAGAGACAAATTTAAAAGATTAAAAATCTCATTATCCTTTTTGAATCATTTACTTGCTTTCTATAGTAATTTCATTTATTTACCGCTTTGTTTTTTTTTTTTTAACCAGAATTTATAGTCAGTTGGGTTTACTTCTTCTTTTCAAGCCAGGAAAAAAAAAAAAAAGTCTCTGTAAAGCTCCTTTAATGATATTCTTCTTCAAAAAAAATATTTTCCATGGAAAAAATCGAAAGAGTTTTATGAGGATTATTAATTATTTTCTAGGCCATATTTAACAATCAATATCAACTAAAAAATCA